ACTGTTTCAGATGTTTTTTCTTAGTAGTAGTTCCTTAGTTACATTTTCAAACAGATGCTTGCCTATACCAAGACCCCACAGGGTAAAAAGTTATAGATATACAGCCAAATTACGGTTGACTCCCTATAACTCGAACCCTCGCTAACTCGAACCTCGCGCCAACTGGAACCAAAATCGGTTTCTCCTGGATTTCCGTCATACATTTACTATAATTTTACTCTCGGTAACTTGAACCCTCGATAACTCGAACCTCCCGCTAACTCGAAGAGGTTTTTGTTTCCCCTCAGACCATTTCTATATAATTTTACCCTCGATAACTCGAACCATGTTTTGAGCCCTTAAAAGTCGGGAAAAAACAGTCTACTGGCTCTACATTGAATTTTGAATTTTCCATTGACGTGTTGTAGGCATACAGTTTACTAGTGGAGGCTGATGTTGTTTGTCACAAATCTAACGTGAAACAGCTTTACTTCTCAAAACAGTAAAACGCATGCACTATTTCGGCAATCACGGTTTTGTTACGTTACGTTCTGATTTATAATCTAGAAGTATCTTTTAATTTTCAATTGACATTTCTACAATTAAAGACCATTAAATGTGATTAAAATGTTCACTATGCAGTAATAAACCCGTCTATTTTTTTCGAGCTCCCTATAACTCGAACTTTTTTCGATTTCCCTTGAAGGTTCGAGTTTTTGGGAGTCGACTGTATATAATACGAGCGTCACTATCGGCCATCCCTAGCTAAATGGCGTTATATTAAAACCGCAGTGTCGAAGTTTTTAGCTGTTTACATTTCCATTAACTGAACTGGACAAAAGAGCCGTGAGTTCATTTCCATTTCCAAACAGTGAGAACCAGGTTAAAATAGGAACTCGACGCATGCTTTTGAATTTCGGATTTTGTAACAGTTTTAAAATTGTAAATTATGCCTGGTTATCTTTCTTTAGTTAGTTGTAAATTATTACATTTGTAACCTTACCGCGAATCAGCCCTTTGGCTGCAAGTTTTTAGGTTGAATAAACAATCTATCTCTATCTAAAAAAGATCGATGTGACGCGGACAGGCTTTTGATTTAAGTTATTAAAACGACCTAAATTCTTAAACAAATTCACAACAGGGTTCGCAAATCTCATGGTAAAACAATTTCCGAAACACTTCTTTTACTGTACCAACCACTTGTTTCAATTCTTTCTTTGACTGATTATGGAATAGCTTTGACTTCTTTTACTTTCTGCTAAAAGGAATCTAAGGATCCAGGATAGGTCGTCGACTTAGCTTAGGAGGGGTAAGGGATGGTGTCAATACAATATATATAATACAAGGTTATACAATATACTAACTGATTGCCGGCAGTTAAATTTGCTGTCAATCTTTATGCCCATCATTAAATAGCTGTTTGATCAGCCTTGCCTTCAGTTTATAGTTTGACTTGAATTTTGCGAGATGTTTCATGGCTGACAGTTAAACTGTTTGAGACCCGGCTAGTATGGTGAGCCTTAACAATGGTATTTTTGCAATTCATTAGTATAGGTAATAGCATGATTTGTAGTGATATTTGGCATAAATACCACGAGTGATATTTCAAAATTGTTATACGTAATTTCACAAGCCCTTAGGCGAGTGAAATTTGAGACAATTTTGAAATATTACGAGTAGGATTTATGCCAAATATCACGTACAAATTATGCTATTATTTGCTTAATATACTACTACCCACAAAAGGTTTGTAATTTTCGCATGTAGGTATTTCAAATTAAGCTGAAATACCACTGCTCTAAGCCAATCAAATTGCAGAAATTTCTCATGTAGTAGTATAAAGCGTGAAGAAGCTGGTACCAACGAATTAACGGTGTCTTTTATCATTCTATCTGCAGAGTGAAGATGGAGAATATTGCCCACCAAAAGGGCACCGAAACAGGCCGACCGTGCTTCTTCGAAGGAGTTTCACAGACACTGCAGCTTAACTACTTTTATTACTCGAACTTTGCTCTTACTCCGATCACTTTATTGTTGGCTTTGTGGTGTTTCCTGTCAAACGGGTTTGTCCTGCTGATGTTTATAAAAGGCAAGCTTCAATTACGTGCAGGGCTTTGTTCTCTCTGCAGTTTGACCACGACCGATGTCTTGTGGTCGGGGTTGGTGATCCCATTGTACGTGAGTTTCAGAATCAAAGAGCTCCTTAGTGGCCGAGCTTGTGCCAATAAAAGCGACTGGGATAATCCCATCATGGTTGCCTCTTTCTTTCTCTGTCTATTTTCTACGGTGGGAACTCTTGGCGTGATGAGCGTAGATCGGTATTTGGCTGTTTCCAAACCGATGTGGTACAAAGTGGTTATCAAAAATCGCCACATTATAACAGCTTGCTGTGGAGTGTGGCTCGTTACGCTGGCAATGGTGATCCTAAAACAAATTGCCCTCTTTCCTCGAAAGGTGGTCGAGCTATTTGAGGCATGCTACATGGTAATTTGTTCCTCCCTGATCATCGTCCTTCAGCTGTTCACCCTGCTGGTGCTTCGCAAGCACAACAATGGAGTCGCAAACATGGTTGAAGGAGGCGCCCAAGGAAACGGCCACGGCAGCGCCATGGAGCGTAAACTAACCATCCTCACTCGCCATGTTGTTGTTTTACTAGGCGTAATTATTATTCCTGTAGGTTTGTCAGTGGTTGTGTCGAGCATTGTTCGGATGGATCTCAGTCCCTTTGCAGAGCCCGTGTACTTTACCCTGGCTACACTGTGCTCTGGTATCAACCCTGTGCTGTACTACAGAGGGAATTCTCAGATAAGACAAGGAATCACGAGTCTTGTGAAATGCCAGTGAATCACTCTTAGCATTGGTGTATGTAAATCTAATATTCAAAGGTTCAAGAATATAGAAGTTTCGCTTCAATGCAATTTCAATAAACCTGTCAACTCTCGAAGCTGGTTCTTGTGACTTTTTTTCTCTCTCTTAAAAAAACCTCTCCAACAGATTTAAGCATAAGTTAGGCTAACTCGTTGACAAACTCCTAATTGCAGACTGGCTACCGGTCTGTTTCAGTGGAGAAACTGGCCTGTTGCCGGGGTTGAAGTTAGTGAGGGGTTTGGCATAAGATCCTATCAGCCAAAAACACCCAGGAAACCTTCTGAGGTGTACACAATATGGTGTTCCATAGGGGGCAAGTGAAAAAACAACAACAACAACAACAAACAAACAAAAAGAACTGAAAGTTAAATTCAGCGAAAGTATCTGAATGTTGATTGATGTTTCGATGACTCCGCGTCATCATTTTGTGTAGTTCTTAAAGGGACTGTGTTACGTTAATGCGCATGTGTGAGTTGTGACAGTAGCTGAAGCGAAGCGAGTAAGATGCACGCAAGGAAATTTACATAATTCGAAATTTCGTTGTTCGCGAAGCGGGAGATTTCCGGACGTTTTTGTTGCATTTTATATATCACCATAATTCGAATGTATTATCTGGTATTCCTAAGATATATGTTGCAGCCAATTAGAATAAGATTAACAACCCTGTCCTGCTTTGAAACAAACATTTAGCTACGTGTATTTTTACTTACCCACACTAGCACACCAGTCTCCGATCCGCAAACAAAAATAATTTGTAAACAAACCTTGCTGATCACTCTGTTTGCCCTATATGAACTTAGAAATACCTGCAAATTGCGCTTGACCGATGGCCAAAACACCTAGTATCGAATTAGGCAAACATTTTGCTTAAAATGCCTTGCTTATATTACTATGGTGCGCATTTAGCTCCTTCCGAGCTGTCTACGATGTTTCTTGGGCCCTATGCGTTCGGCTAGCGCGATGACCACTCTGTATGAACTGCACTGTAACTCAGACATTATCAAGTTCAACACATACATACATACTTGTACATATACATAGGAAGTCCTTTTCAATTTTCTTAATACATATATTTAACGTTTAAAATCTAACAGAAAAATGTAGATCGTTGAGTGGAGAACTAAATAGACAGAAATGAAAGCCAGATGACCACATTAAACGCCACATTTGATCCGTTTGTAGGAACACTGACAACCAATAATATGCCTTCGTACACTTCTCCTATGATTTCGAATTTTCTCAACAATGCTTGCACAAAAATACAAAATATGGCGTTTAAAACTTTCAAAACGGACCAAATAGCTCTTGAATACTGATATAATAGCTTTCTCGGGCATCTCAGGGTCGATGGAAGATGATTTTTTCACCAAAAGCAAATCTTGAAAAAGGGTTCACCAGACCAGAAATCAAGATGCTGCACATGCGTGTCACAGTCCCTTAAATTTCCCACTCCAAAGATTTTAACGGGAATGGATAGAAGCTTTCGGTGCAACGATCTCTGGGATCCGTTGGGTGGAAAAAGCGTTACTTATGATTGGTAAATGGTTGCCTTAAATACTATTGACCAATCATAACTAACGCTTATCCACCCAAACGATTCCAGAAATCCTTGCACACAAAGCTTGTACCCATTCTCCCTAGACTTTCTGAAGTGGGAAATCCCGTGAGTTCACTATAAAGGAGCTGCTTGAGAAAGACCTAGGATTAAGTAAGAACAGCCCAACCTCGCTCCCAGGTTCTCTCTCCTACGGTGAGGAGAGAACCCTGGGAACGAGGTTGAGAACAGCCTTTAGGGCCTTGCACGACGCCTTGCACTGATTCACAGGACCTCGGGCCTAGGGACTGACATGAAAATAGAAAGAGATCGTTCACACAAAGCCATGGAGCCATCAGCTTTTAGAATGTTCTAAGCCCATTGTGACAAGCTCTCAGTCCCTGAAAAGGTTAGGACGACTCCAAACTGCAATACATTACCAAAACAAAAAACTAATTTAATTTACTATTTGGACAACGGTATACAAAATATGAAAATCTTACAAAATAAGATTGACTGTAACATGAGCTATTGTATCAACTGTTACCTAACTTTCCTTACATTAATTCCGGAGCCAAAAATTTTTAAGAATAAAAGAGAGTTTAAACAGCAGATCCCTCCTAACCAAATCTGTTACTAAATATATTGTCTTATTCCGATTCATATCAGCTCTGACAGCATTATTTAATCGACTGCTGATTTTTGACAAAAAAGAAACATTCTTGCGGGCGGCCACATATAAACTCTTACTGACATTTGGCCTTGTAAGATTCACGACTGGTAATGCATGTTTAAACCTTAACTCAGGGAACGCAGACGGAAACATAGAGTCTCTAAACCGCAGCAGCATTTTTCCCATAAATCTTAACCAGACAGAGGAACTGCCTCGAACCTCTTTGAACAGCTAACAGAACTGTATTGGATGATAAGCAATAGAAACAATAACCCCAGCCCTCAGAAACCGCAGAGCTTCGTGCCAAGAAGAACGAATGACATAGGACGGTTTTCGAAGAGCTTCGTGACAGCAGGGACAGAATGCCAGTTCCGTATATCGAATTCGTTCTGAACAGGGATTCAAACGTATTGTTGCGGTGTCCAAGGGTGCACCAAATCCCAATATATACATACTTTTGCGTCTCTCTACAGTCTGGCACGAATATCAAGATTTAGATTAAAAAAGCCGACAGGTTTTGAACGCTAGAGAATTCAAGGTGACACTTGTAAAATGCATGTACGTAGCGTGGTGTGTTTTCCTTGTGTTTTCCGTTTTCCTTTTTTGTGCTCTTGTGAGAGAGCAAAGGTTGATAAAATAAAAGCATCTTGACTAAAACCACTGTTCAGTAACAGCCTTGGGAACTTCATCTTTACTACTGCTGGCGAGCTTCGATGACAAGCCTACAGAAGGCGGCTTTTGTCCTTATTTCTCTTTCTAAGCCTCCATCACCTTTGTTAAACTCTTCAGTAGAAGTTTAGGCAATCTACATCAGAAGGAATTCTTTCTTCCTCGTCAGAATCTAAACTAGAATCACTATTCAGCATCTCGGGAAGGAACACTTGTTTGCTTTCTTCTTTATCTTTGAACTGACGTCGGGTGTTGTTCAGGTTTGTCGGAGCTTGGCGAGCGCCTTCAGCCTCCTCGTCTTCGTCGGATGATGACCAGACCTCCCATCGATCAAAATCAATACTAACATAAGGCAACTAAGGCGAAAAAAGGGAGAAAATAGAATTAACAAAGAAACAAATATAATAATGTGTTGCTTCGCGTGTTCACAGGAGTGCTCGATGCAAATACACGCAGAGCGAAATGCAAATTTTGAGACAGAAATGGTATTGGTGCTTACTCAAACGTCAGTAGTAAATATTGTTTGCTTGGTTTTATTTTATATTTTTTTTCTTTAAGTTATCTTACTCTTCTGACCTCATGCTCGGACAAACACTGAAAAACTGTTGTTCTTGAAAGTCCGTACGGTTGAAAGCGTTTCACTGGAAAGATGAGTTAGGCGGTTCTTACTTTTGAATCTGAGAGCGAAAAATATGGTGTGGCCATTCACTTAAGAAACCTCTTCAGCAGTACTTTCACATGATACTGTTTATTGTTCTTGACGAAAACTTTTCAGCAGTGCTTTTTAATACTATTTAAAATGTTTATGAGTCTGTGGACCAAATTCTAAGGTGTGAACATTCAAACGAAACCTATTTAGCAGTACTTTCACAAGTACTATCTATTAAGTTGTCAACTGGTTCTAATGGCTAAGTCTGCGTATGAGAGTTATCCTTCAAATAAAATCTCTATAGCACTACTTTTGTACGGAGTTTTGTTGTTCAGAATTTTTCAAATTATAGAAATTTGACACGTATATTTTTTTAAAAAATTTGACTGAAGGTGACATAGTAAAATAGCTCTGTAAATGAATTTGGTATCGATTGGCACCTATTCACTTCATTAAACCCTACCAACATTTCATTACTAGAAGTGTCATAATGAAAAAGAGCTGCAACGTCGGTTCTAATTTTGTTTTAAACAAAATATCAGTTTCTCCTGATAACGATCCTCTGTCGTACCCCCTTAAGATCTAGGCTTACTGATATTTTAAGCTACAAACGGATATATTAAAACAACTAGAGAAAGAGCAGACCGAACCAAAACAAGACAAAATACTTAGAAAACAACAGACAAAGACTCTTTTAAGCTACTGGCATTGGTGTTTATATGGCAAGGCTTGCTTTCGTCAAAATTTACCTCGCGTGTTATATGGAAAGCCTTTCTTTCGTCAAAATTTACCTCGCGTGTAACCATCTTTATGAAGTCAACCGCAAAACGCAATCGACGCAACTTTATCAGAATTGACCGTGAAAAATTATCAATATTTCAGTTGATATCGGCATTGACGACAAAATATAAGGTTCTCTAGATAACTGAGGTGTCTTACAAATCTTTATCTCGTCAAAAACGTCCTTAAAATGCTAAGTGCATAATGGTAAAAGCTCATCGGAATCGAAGACAGCGCCCACTAAGGGGTTGCATCACGTTGCCCACAGTTGTAAAGACACCGAAACCGTGTTTATTTGAGTTAAACGGCAATGGACGCGAAAATCGCGCAGAAGAGGCAAACAGGTTCTAGTGCTCGTATGACAGTCCTGTGTGGTGTAACAGCGTGCGTGGTTTGTGGCATATTTCTGCTATTCAACTACTTTCTCGTGAATCAGCGCATTTCCATGCTGGAAGAGAGGTTGGACAGATTGCAGAGGCGTGGAAAGCCAAACACTAACAATTCATTACAGAGAAACGTCCGTGAAAGAAGATCTCTGCAGGATGATACACGATTAGAGATGGCAGATTTAGATTTGGAAAACCGTCTGAACAATGCCGAGAAAGAAAGGTAACTTTAAAGGTGGTATTTTACTTTCATATTTTCAATAAGTTATAACGTTTTTTCTTCCCCTATAAAGGCGATACTTGTACCACGTTTTTCGTTCAGTTTGCGAGATATATCTATAGCTGGAGAAACCAATGAAGGCTAAAGGAGATCAAATGTAGTACAAGTCAGTTCCAAATTAACCTTAACACTTTAAGCCCTAAGAGTGATCAGCATCAATGCTTTGAAAAACAGAGTGGTCATGGGAATTATGGACATGACCACTTAAGATGAATGTGCTTGATATTTTATCAACTTCTCCCCACTACTTCTGTAGGAAATGAATGGGGGCAACAAATGAGAATTCAAATTTTGATCTTAGGGTTTAAAGGGTTAACTTGACGAATCTCTAAAGAGAGACGTTAAAGGGAACCTCCACTCTTACTACAGAATAAGTTTAAATCGAATAAAATTATGTTGATAAACAAATTTGTTCGAAATTTGTCTTAAAAAAAGTGTTTATATCAGGAAAAGTGAATTTTAAAATCGCTTATTTTCACTTTCAAATTTCGCGGGCGCCGCCATCTTTAATAATTGTGACGTGTTACGGTTGCTCTATTGTTCTGACACAAAGAGCTTTTGTTTAATAACAATAGGGCAACCATTACACGTCACAATTATTCAAGATGGCGACGCCCGCAAAATTTGAAAACAAAAATAGGCGAATCTAAAAGTTATTTCTTTCGGATACAAACGCTTTCTTTAAATATATTTTAGATTGACTTGACTGTAACAGTTATTTCCTGTGACTTAAAGTTATCTTTTTGTTGAAGTGGAGGTTCCCTTTAAGGGATAGTTCCTGTAGTGGTACTCAGTTCCCAAATCTCGAAGAATTTGTGCATTTGTTTCCTCACAATCCAGGAGTAACCAAGTGATTAAATTTGCATTCCAACATTGCCCCTGCATAAATTGAAGTCATCAATTCATGACCACCTAACTTAATTCAATATCGGCAAATGTCGCATATTTATTACTGTCTCTTACATTCTTTGTCCTAAAACGAATCAATTTAATTTTTATTGACAGGCTCGACCAAGCTAATGAACCAACTTCACTTCCAACTCCGCCCAAGGACTGGTGGTTCCTAGCGTTCCTTCGAGGTATACATTACCAGCGACTATAAGTCGTTAACCCTTCCAGGGAGCTAAACTAAACATTCAGAAACAATTTTGCAATGTGGTTTGTAAAATGATGAAAAAAAAAAAAAGAAGCACAATGTGAAAAACTACTAACGAGATTTCATTTGAGTAGTCACACCAAAGGATTTGGTCCTGGACTCAAAAGTTAGAGTAACATGACGAAACTTTATTTTTCACTCTGGTGGTCAAATGGTTATATAAACGGAGAATCTTCGACTTAATTTAGTTGTAAATGTTTTAGCACAAACACCCTGCTATCAGAGCCTTTCTTTCACTTGCTCGATTTTGGCGCACTTAAGAAAGACTGTTCAAGAATCGAGTAAGATCTTCGTTGCTCATGCGCTGCATGTTGCTAGGATACAGTTTCAAACCCAGGCCTACTGGCCGTGTGCTTGGTACAGTGGGCTCAGTTAGATCCATCCGTTTATCAATAAACGGATGCTCGCACTCGCAAAACCAGTTTGACGAGAGAAAACAAGATTGGCTAGTCCAGAAGTTCGGCCTTCAGCGACTTCAAAGGCTTGACCCAATTCAGGCACTCCTTCTTGACAAACAAGAAGACAAAGGAGACTCTGCACACAGGTTGCAGCACGAAGCACTAATGAACACTTTAAGCCCTAATAGTGATGGGCGTCACATTTCTCTTTGTAATATCACAGCTTAATAAAACAGAGTTGTCATGAGAATTAAGGACATGATCAAACAAGATGAATCTAATTGATACTTCAACAAATTCTCCCCACTACTTCTATTGAAAACGTATAGGGATAACAAATGAGAATTTAAATTTTCATGTTAGGGTTTAAAGGGTTAAGATAAAATTGAAGAGCAGCGAGCCCCTGTGGACCAGATCACTAAAGCATTCTAAGCAACGTTTACGGGAGGTTCAAATCTGCAAATAGTATTCATGACTTTGTTTGATTTAAAACGATTTCCATTTTAAATTTCTTCTTCAAACTTAAAGGAAGAGATGGTCGTGATGGCAGAGAAGGCCCCGCAGGACCACCCGGGCCACCCGGGCCTCCTGGACCCCGTGGAGAACGCGGTCCCGCTGGAAAAGACGGTGAAGCAGGCACCCCGGGAACACGCGGAAAAAAAGGCGACCCTGGGGGGCCGGGAGAAAGAGGTCCCCGAGGGATTAAAGATACGCTAATTTAAAAGTTGCTTAACTTGAATATTAATTCGAATTCTTAACATACAGGTATCCGTCACGCCCTAGTGCAAGACATCAAGGCAAACCCTCCAAAATTGCACAGTCTCATAATCGCCCAGGAAAAAAGAGTGCCTTCCTCCTTGCAGTCACAGCGAACGCTTGACTTACTGTTACTATTACTAGAGTTAGAGTATTCCGCCCATTTCAATATATATAAGATCTAGATTGATAGACACAGATATCTGCCATATTCTTGGAAAATACAATCACACCGCCTAAATCACAAATAAATAAATAAATAAATAAATTTAAATAAACTGGACTGCTATACGTTATGGCGAAAGAGGAAATGATGATAGTTTCAGAAGGTGAGAAACATTTAGCAGAAGGCGTTACGTTATGTATACCACCAGGTGTCACTTTACTAAACTTTTTCTTATTCCTTGGCGCATCGTACAGGCGACCCGGGCATGCCTGGAACCAACAAGCCCTCTCCCGGCCCACAGGGTCCCAAAGGTGACAAAGGTGACGTAGGAAGGCCTGGATTGGATGGACCTCAAGGGCCTAAAGGCGAACAGGGAGAACAGGGAAACGGACGGCCCGGGGTCAAGTATGTACACTGGGGAAAACGAAGCTGTCCAAACAACACTCAGACAGTTTATGAAGGTAATAGCCAGAATAGGGGAGCAAGCATTTAGAAATGAAAAGCAAAAACCCCACCGGCTCAAAGCAGTTTTACAACTATTTAAGAGTGATGAAAGAAGCTGAAAGACAAAAACAAATCTCCTACAGTTAAACAATGTCAATGGCTAATTGGGTTATTCGTCACGACTGGGTGCTGCATTTGCGTCTTACGGTGAATTTCCACGGTCGCATAACTTTTACGCGCGTTAACAAAATAGAGGCGTGGTTTGAAAGGCCGCGCGTGAACGTAGACACTTTTTCGTTTACACACGACCTTCATTGAGACATTGCCTCTATTCTACTAACACGCGTAAAATGTACGTGTATACACGCACGTAAAAATGACGCCACAGTGGAAATCCACCTTTACAGGAGGAACTTTTGAAAACGTAGCCAATACGTTTGACGAAAAATATTTACAGCACCCTATTAATAAAAGACTTTATCACCAAAGATATAATGTGTCCTAAAGTACAGTTTTTCTTTAGCGTTGTTTAGTTCACCACGAGACATACTATTATTTCAAAAAAAGCTTAGCAACAAAAGATCACAAAAAAGGTAATTTTTTTAAAGTACCAGAGAAGCGTTCAGAAAAGAGCAAATGATTTGCAAATTTTCTTTCTGCAAACGATCGAATTTCCGTTGCTACAGTCGGAACTGGTCCAAAGAAGAGATAAAAGTCGCTCTGAGCACCCGTTCACAACAAGTGTATGTTCAACTGCCTAAAAGGTTAAAATTTCTCATAACTTAAAACTTTTTTCTGTCAATCAGGATTTGTTGGAAGCGGCTACTACAACCATTACGGTGGTGGTGGTCAGTACCTTTGCCTGCCAAACAAACCAAAGTACGACAAGTACAAGGAAGGTTTTCAGTCCACCTCCTTCATGTATGGTACTGAGTATGAGGTCAGCTCTTTTAATCCATTCAAGGGCAGCCTTCACGATCACGACGTGCCATGTGCAGTGTGTTACATCAAGACACGTGCCTCTCAGATCATGATACCCGCAAGGAATGACTGTCCTTTTGATTGGACCGAGCAGTATCATGGGTATTTGATGTCATGGCACTACAACCACAAGAAATCTGGTGATTTCGTGTGCATTGATGCAGACGCGGAGTTCGTTCACGGGAGCCATGCCGGAAAAGATGGCGCCCTGTTGTACCTTGTGGAAGGCTCATGCGGTTCGTTGCCATGTCTACCGTATGTTGCTGGCCGAGAGCTGACATGCGCTGTGTGCACCAAGTGAAGCAAAGCAAAACGACTCCAGAAAAATGTTACTTCACGTTAACGTGGCTGAGACTTCTCCCCTCCACCCCTCCCCATTTTAGTGAATTATAACGTAGCATATAAGTAGCAGACCGAGTCATGTAATTTTAAAAGAAAGAGCTTTATCGTTTTACTAACAAAGAACAATGAGTCTTTATGGGTTGGTTATTAAAACAGAGTTAAGCCAGTGTCAAACAAAACTGCGTTCTAAGCTTTTTTTTTCAATTTTGTCAACGCCAAAATCTAAAGTTGTTTACTGCTAGGGCTGTCAAGAAAGAATTTTCGGATCGGGACGGGTTCGAAAGGCTTTAGAAGAGCGAGCCTGTTGCTGACGGATTAGAAACTCGCATACTCGGAAAGTTTGTCCGCTAGTCACAAAAATTTGGTTATGTCGACGGAGCTACATTATTGGCGACAACAAGTTAGCGTTACCCTGTAGTGAAGAGGAAAAACGCGTCCGCAATATAGTTTCTGCAGATGCTGTAGAGGTTGCAGCAAAATAGTTTCTGCAGATGTTGCAGAGGCTGCGGCAATATAGTCCCTGTTCGCGCATACTACCTGTTCCTTGCCTAGCACCAATCGGTCTGTCACTTACCTTTTCTTTGCTCTTCTGCAGCCGCGTCCAGACCGCATGATTTCTCTTCTTCAGCAGAATTTGAACCTCGGCACCCTTCACTGTAACACCATCCTCTCTTTGCTGGAAGAACTAAAAAGGAAAAAAACCTTCAATGAGTTCAATATACCACCGATCGGCCTCAGCCATTTGAGACGGCAAGAATCGATAAGTGACTTTTTGTACCAAAAATTTCAGGCAGTAAATCTTTTATATTCCTTATATTATGCGTTTCTTAAAACGCATCAGCATATTATATTTTGCCAAAGAAATAAAGCGTTATTTGCTGTCAGAATCAATACTCCAAAAGAACTGAATAGAAACATCTTATTAATTGAAACATTACCATGCACAATTTTCCGGGTCCAGTTTTTCTCGTCCCTGCTTCTCTTTTCTTAAAAAAATGAACTTAAATAGTATTAGGGGCCAACTCAAAAATCTCCGATTCCTTCAGCCTCTAAGCTCCAATAAATTACTTAACTGCCTCGTTATCTTATCTTATACTTGTATATAACATTGTCGTGTAATAATTCTAAAAGGGAGTCGATGAAGACTGTTGTTGTTTCGATCAAAACAAATGGAAGTAATGCCGAACTGGTTACCTCAGATGATTGGGTGCCACAATCTTGGGCAAAATAAATGGAAAATTTAGACCCCTCCGCCCCACCCTCCCGCCCTTTCTCCCAAATCAAGGACGGGCAAATGGAGCGTCTTGACTTTCGCGCGGCGTTATCCTTGATCTCAGGGGGATGGGGCTTTGCTTTTCCATTTTACTCTAAAGGTGGATTTTCATTGTCGCGTAATTTTTACGCGCGTTCGCACCTAAATTTTCCGCTGGTAAACAAAATAGAGGCAATGTATGAAAGGTCGCGCGTATTTACGTTCCCGCGCGGCCTTCCATGCATTGCCTCTACTCTGTTTATGCGAGTGCGCACGTAACATTATGCGACAGTGGAAATCCACCCTAATATTGGAGTCTTACGAGCGATCGGCTAAGGTTACTCAGTGATTACAGCACCCAACTGCAGCTGGGACGTCGTGAGTTCAGCGTATTTCATACTCACATCTTTGTCTACTGATCACAAAACTATTTCCTACCTGTGAGTCAACATCCTCGAACAGTTCCAAGTCCAGCTCATATAGAGAGTGGCCCATACGTGTTCTAGGGACAAAGAGAAAAGCGGCACCAGCTAATAAACTCAGCGCTCACTGAAATATTCAGGGTGAAATGGAGTAAAAAGTTTATTCACACTGAATCAGCGCGGGCAAAATGTACTCCGTTATGTAAGCCATATAAGTATGTGCCGCCCGAAAGGGTAGGGTTTTTGTGCCGTTGCGGTCTGAAAACGGGTATAGATTTTGCCCATTTTGGTCTGGAATAGGGTATGGGTTTTGAGCAAACTACAAGAGTGTATGAATGTGTTTGTTTCGATTCCACGTGAGTCAGAACGAAAGAGTAACATCCTTCGAAATGGATTTTAAGAAATCTTTTTGTTTGAGCTCTAGTCTAAATATGATGACGACTTAATTTCCACCTACACAAGGTCTGAAACGGGTATGGATTTTAGAGGCTCAGTCTGAAAACGGGTGTTAAAAATAACATTTTTTAGTCTGAAATAGGACGAGGAATTGGAGAATCGGGCGGCACACACCCTACCAAAAATTCCCGGGAATACCTCCCCGCCTCCTTTCAGAAGAGGGCAAAAATCTCCTAATAGGTAAGGTCACTATGGCAACCTGGCCACAGCTCACCAGTCTAGGCAGCACAAGCTGAATTTACCATCTAAGTGGGTATTTACCTAAACTTAAGCCTGCTGTCAGTGATCTCGGTTTGCACTTTTCGCTCATTCACACCTCGCAACTTCACGCAAACTCGCACCAGATCCCTGGTCTGTGACCAAACTGTTTTAGGATGCACCCTAGATGACAGTAAAGAAACAAAAATGTAAGGACATGTGAGGACAGACAAATGCCAGGCGTCACAAGATAAGATTTGATGAGGATGTGTAAAATCACACTACCAGGGGACAAATTTCACTACGCAATTACGCAAATGCACTTATCGCCGTAAACACTTCCCAGAAAGCCTTTTGGTCTCGCTGGTTTATGATTTTCAAGTAAGGCGTTTTCACAATCGAGTATACATAAGTCACAACCAACCTATATGGCGCTGTATCTCCATCCCCATCAGACGCGGCTTGATTCCTCGGTGTTTCTAAAGCGACATTAATTCTTAGAGGCACTTGCGGGGCTGGGATTTGTCTTAAAGTGGATTTAGCAAATGTGTTGGATGACAAGGTTACGCTGACACCCCGCGCAGGGGCATTTTCTTTATCAATGTCCTCATCCCCTCCGAGCGGGGGTAGGTCATCATCTTCATCACTACCCTTTACTCCGTTGACTACTTTGACCTCAGGCTCTTCCTTCTTGATGCTGACAGTTGAGGTCGAGCTTCCCTGGGTTCTAGTGACAGACGTGTGAGCTGTTGGACTTGTTGTTGGGAGACCGCTGGCCGCTGAGCCGAGTCGTTGTAATAAATCCAGGCACACACGGCGTGCAATGACGCCTAGCTTCAGTGACTCATCTGTCATAATCCTGCAATAAGAGTGCTTGATATTACAATGGAACGCAGTTACTATTTCCACCAAAGATATTGGTGCTATCAACAGCGAAGACTCGCGCTTGTGTCACAATATGATGCTAAGCCTTATTAAAATGATTAAGGACAAGTATAAGTTCCTTCTAATATTCAAACTACCACATATCACAGATGTAAGCTTGAATGTTTGGTTTGTTTGTTTTGGGAAGGCGAGGTTTTTTTTCCCAGTGAAACAACACATCGGTCATGTGACCGGCTACTCGAGGTACTGTTTCTTTCACGAGCATAGGTGCACAAATTCCCATACGACATCATAAGGCGCATGAGCTAAAAGATATCTATTTAAGGTTAAAAATGAAAAGAAAGAAAAAAAAAAAAAACTGGTAACTCTTCCAAACGGGTAGCTTTGTATTTCTTTCGTTTGCAGGACATTCACAATTTGCACATCTCCCACAATACACTTTGTTTGCCTTTGTTATTTAATTTCTCCTGGGTATTACAACCATACCCAAGAGAAATTGAAGTTTTGGGGAGAAAGCAAGGTGTATTATGTGAGATTTGCAGATGGTGAATTTATGGTATAATGATAAATGATTCCTAGTTGAGTCGTTTTGCAAGTGAGTTAACGAAGGAGTTAAGGTTTTCGGCGGCAGCTTAAGGCTTGATTTTCGGCCGTTTCAGGGAGTTCGGTCGACATGAATGAAGGAAAGCGGGCGCAGTAACGCCTGGTAATGAAGCCTATGGTGGCTTAGACTCCCAATCCGAACAAGAATACTCTACTACACCACCTCGAGATCAAACCACAGCCCACCCTACCCCGGCGGGGCATAGATCCTGTATGACTAAAATTTAGAGTGTTCGCACCCCTCCCGGGTAAAATCCTGTGCTAAAAAGATGGGTTGTTTCTTGATGTTTTAATGTGTACGATCAAAAACAAGGAAACACACGAAATGATGAGGACAAAGAGCTAACCTTTGAAGTGTAACAAAGATGCCGAATTTGTCCATAATTTCCTTGTTGGAACGATTGTTACTAGCCAGGGTCTTCAGTGTTAGGGCGCCTTGATAGAGGATCTGTTACAAAACAACAAACAAACACTTTAAATAGGGTGGACAATAAATAAAGGAACGCTAATCCAATATCTTCGGAACAGCGAGTTAAAAACAAAGTGAACAGGCTTGCAACGTTCATTTTAAAACAAACAAAACGAACAAATGATCTAACTAAACAGTGACGCGATGACGCGATACATGGTTGAATTGAACTTGAAGAGATATAAGTAACAACTGTTATAAGCACAAAAATTGATGGGCATGCGCATTTCAAGCGTTCTAAATGCCCCAAAAGGAAAACGGGTGTCTCTAAAAATGGCAATCTTTACTCTGGGGTTGGGCAAAAGCTCGTAAGACATGAACCTTAGTGAACCTTTCCTGTTCTCTGTACAATACCAAATTTATAAAAATCGTTTCATCTACGTATTTTTTTGCTCATTACCCTATTTACATGAAGGTTGCAGAAGATTATTATACCTGTTCTGAGGGTGAATCCTCTAACTTTTTACAAATGTTTTCGATGCCTCCGTACTGACGAATAAAATTCCGGTTCCTAAAATTAAACACAATGAATCAATTTCTCACGGAAATACTTTGCTTCAACGGACCACGTGCAAAAACTTGGTAGAGAGTTGGAACTAGCTCCCTGTTGAGGCTGAAAAGATCAGAAACTGAGTCTTCACTGCTTAACTACAATCCTCGACAATTGTCCGGAACAGCAATGCAGTATTAATTTTCTTTAAATTTCTGGGCGCCCTTATAAACGGTGCATCCTTTTCGAAAATTTGCTAGCAGTTCTCCCTCTCCCCACCCTATACAATGTTGAAACTCGGGAAAAATTCTGGACGCAAGCGTCCACCGTTGTTTGTGGGGGTGGGGGTGGGGGAGGGGGGAAGGAGGGGTTAGGCATATGTGAATTGAAAAAAGCCCCAAAATTGCAAATTTGTGCCCAGACTTTTGTCCATGACTGTAGTTCCAGGTCACTACGAAAATGAAAGTCCAAGAATGCTCTAAATAGCTTCTTCCATAAAACTTACAATCGAGGTGTAATCATTCCAGTCTACTTTGTGGGACAGACGAAGAGAGTAGGGTCCTTGTGTGGGTAAATTGCGCTGGAACGTTGCTTTTTATATACATATTGACTGTTTTTAAAGAGCTCAGTTTTCAAATAAACGGGAAGTAGATCTCTGAAACCAAACGTTAGCATTGTGCGTGGTATGCGAATGCACTATGTATAGAGAATTGTGAAAGGTTTGAACCCAGGAGTCATTTTAAAAGGTTGAGTTTGATCGAAGAAGCCTGGCAGTCGCAGCATTTGATCTTGTATACTGCTCCCTGTCTGTCCTCCTCTGACTAACAATAGACGACTGTTTAACTACGACAATAGACGGATCGAAACGCACCAATCACTGATTACGAGTCTTCATAGCCAATAACATCACGGCTTAACTGACAGACGACCAATAACATCGCGACATAATTGACCAATCAGATCAATTACCCGAGTATAATACCATCAACTGACGTGATACAACTCACTTTGACTCTGAAAATGACTACCGCACAGGTTGTCGAAACGTCAGTCACTGTCAACAACAACAGTCCTATTCAGGACTACGTTCACCTGGACGATCAAACTCAACCTTTTGTATAGAGAATTATTGAGACGTTGACGCATGCGCATGCAGTTTACGTTGTGAAAAAGGCAGACTATGGAATACTGTCAGGCTCACATCAGCCACTACCCAAACTTGCACTAACAAAAAAATACAGTACTTTCGAAATGGTCTATTGAACAGGACGTCCTGTAAAAAGTGGGATAATTAAGGACGGTGCCCACTAATGGGAAGTATTTTTTTCCCAGATAATGACTATGCGAGACAAGTAGATCATATCAGCGGCTATTGAAATCCAAAAAGAAAACGGGGGGTAACCACGCATTTTTCAGAGGTAACTGCGCTTCAATTAGGAGAAAAACGCTGAATAGGCATTTTTTAGAAAAATAATAAAAAGTTATTTTCCCCCCAAATTTCAGAGTACACACGTAAACTGGCACAAATGCAATGATAATTGCAACAAGGTTTCAAAATAAGCAACAAATGATAACATAACAACTGCTATTTATACGTCTTTTTCTGAAATATTAGCACAACTGGGAAGTTATCAGCAGTTACCCCTCTCCACGCGTTTGCCTTAAAAATAGTGTAAACGAGATTTTCCCCGAACCAAAAATTGATAGTTTACTGAGTAGGCTTATTACGTTCATTTGGTAAGATAAAAAGTAGGGGTTACCACGCATTTTTGGAGTTAAATTGGTTGGTTTCGACCTTAACCTAATCGCTTTGGGGGTTATTTACAATTTTTCCCATCCCCTCCCTGGTCAGTTTCACTATTGCTTCACTCAACGCGGAGTATTCTGGGATATCCACAATGGCTGACAGTCAGAAAACAACAACCCACGGAAGAGAGTAAAAACAGAAAGTGAAGCAGGACATTTCATGGACTATAAGGAAAACAAATTGTACTATTTCATTCAGTTGGAGCTTCTCCGTCTGAAACATTTAACAAAAATTTTTGGAGAAGAGCAATCTCCAAGGTATTAAAGATTACTTCCAGCGCACATAGGGTAGTGTGGCGAGCTCAAGATCCAAGGCTGGCGCTGTAAACAAACTACTGTACTATAGTGGAAAATAGTCGGCACGGACTCTTAGACAGGTACTCCTTCAATCGTTTGCTTACCTGTACATGTCCTCAAGATTTTTTTAACTGTAGATGTATGGATTGTAAACCTTCTATCGTTTTTTATCATTTTACCGGGTACCTCGATCGAATATGTCCTCGCACTTGCATGCATTCAATGAGCTTATATCTGTGCTTTGCGCTATCTCTTTCGGGCTTTGCCACAAGTTTCATATGACATAAATGATTTGCATATATAGACTCAAGTTCCATACACGATCATGAGATCTCTTTTAAAAAGGCAGAATACTCCGAAACTAGTTGTACCGAATGCGTTTATGTACCCTCAATTATAAACTGGGCTATAATGATCATTTTATATATTTCGTTTTGATTTTTTTACTGTAGCATTCTGTGTCACGTTCATTCACTATTTTTCGTTCCTAAATGTTAATTTTAGACTTAACAGTGTCTGTTAAACCTAAGAAAGTCTTAGAATGGAAATACTTTATTTACCGTCCATCTTTAGTTTGTAAACAGCTAAATGGCAGCTATGTCTAAATGTCCAGATTATGTGTGGCGTGAAATTGAACCTTAAGAAATACTATCTACACGACAAGCTACCCAATGAGTCAATAATTTTAATGCTTAGTACTGCCAAAATGCTTAAATAACAATGATAATAGTAAAAAGCATAACAATTTTTTACGATTTTTTCCACGATGAAAGCGTTTCCTTAGCGGTCCGCAACTATTTGTGAAGCTGCGATCTCAGCAATCCAAACAATCTTGTGATAATTTTTTTCTTGTTTGTTCGACAAATAGAAGCCTCGGACTCTCGATAAAAGGGACATCTGTATGTACTCGAACGCTTTAAGTCTATCTTCTGGTGAATAATTACATAAAATCTTACAAAATGAAAGAAATATTCGGGAAAGTGTTTATAGCCGATTAGCCGATAAAACGCGAAGGATGCGAGTGAAAGGTAAGCTTGCAGTTTCTCGATTAAGCGGAGGACTTAGAGCTATTTTCCTTCTGTTTTACTAATCCTTGCCTATTAAGGGATTGTTTAATACCCAAGCTCCAAGTGTAACATCTCGAAGCAATAATTTTTGATGTTTTAAAACTGACTTTTGTTTGACTATAAAATGTTTGGTCAGATCGACCATACGACAGAAATAGCAACATGCGCATACTTCTTCGGTTTTCAAAGAACTGACAAGGTAAACAGAAATTATTTTTCACCTGTTGAAAAAGGACGCATCTTTTCCACAAGAAATAACTAGAACCTCCCAGACTTACAGGAGACAAAACCAGTCCGCGTGTCCTGCGTGTTGCGCATTTCTTTCGCGTCGCGCGCGACTACTTTGGCATGCGCAGAAAATGAGCGCAGTAACAATAGTGGGCACCGTCCTTAAATTGGTCATAAAACAACAAAATAAGAACTACGACAAACGAAATTTGAAACTCACTTGACATCATTAGCAAGCATTCCCAATGCCCACAAAGATCGTTCCAGGACATTTTCATTACTCGTTGCAGATATCAGTTCGCATATGGTTTTAAGACCTCCACACACTTGTACAGCTTGGCAATTGCTATGAAAAGTTACAGAAAGAGGTGGACTTGTAAGCCAATGCAAATTGTTTGTTTTGAACTCGTTGCGAAACGTTAAATTACATTTTATTTTTGTCACAGACAATTTCGATTTCTTGCTGGGGTTGGGGAGAAGGATGATAGGGGATACTCCGTTACTCCCTTATATGATCTAAAAAGTACACAAGTAAAGAAATAAATAAATGGCGATGCCACCGAAAGAAGAAAAACAACCAAGAAATTCGTATTCACCTAAAAATCAAGACAGCTCAGTAGTGCGAGCAAATCAATACCTTATTCTGACTTATGGGCCGTATTTCGTGAGTATTTAATTTCGCGATTTTTAGGGATTTTTAGAGAACTGTTAGGGATTTTCAGGGATTCTAAGATTTTGCGAGTATCAAATTTCGCGATTTTTCCCAAATCACGAAAATCGCGAAATTAAGTGAGAATAACGTACACACAAGCAAACAAAACAATCTAAAAGCCCATACCTAATATGATCTTTAGCAAGAGAACCAAGGGCCCATACAACTCTCTCTTGAACCTCAAAATAAAAGAACACCAAATTCTGTAAGTCTTGAAAGCATACTTATACTTTCTTTCCTAAAACACCCCTCCCGCACTTCTTTCTTTCCCAGTCTCCTCAATCCTGGATTCGATTGAACGATATTTGTATTATCTCTAGTTTCGAACCTTGCATCGGGAGCCGTCCTCTGAAGAATGAATGTCTGATGATCCGATTATCAGGCAACCACCACGTCCATAGAAACCTATGTATTCTACATTAACTGTTGCATTTGCCTTTTAAATGCTGAGCACAACTGACCTTCTCATTGGCGGCCATCTTTAGCAGTCCGCACAAAGCTTTGATTCCACCCCGGTTACTGACTTCGCTTTGATTTCTGTTCAGGAAATACAACAAAATGTCAGAATAGCAACGTACTTTTAAAAGCAGTGTGCGTTTGAATTTGCTCATTATTTTTCTTTGGGTTTATTCCGTGCAGCAATTTGAAGGGTGGTGGTATGATAATGCAAGCAAAACCGCAAAAGTTATACCACAAACATTGCTAGTCATAAACACTTAAATTGAAAAGACGGTATAGCAAACAATAATAATTATTAATGATGATGATGACGATGATGATGATGATGATGATGATGATGATGATGATAATAGTAATAAACTCAAAAAATGTAATCCATACTTTTCTGTGGCTGAAAGGTTCTTGATCCCCCATGCCAGGCTTTCTTGAACAGTGCTGTCTTCAATCTGGATACAAACATTGACAACAAAGAGAGCTTTGAATACATCTTGTTAATTATGATTGGTTTGGAACAATACATTAAAACTTGTACGTATGCAATTATGCCCTCTGATCATATTCCCTAGCTTGAGGTATAAATAGATATCGAGAAGACGAGGTGATCTTGTGAACACAACTACAGACCATTGCCAGAAATTAGGGACAAGATGGCGCTTGCGCGTGCGCACTAAGGCCATAATGGCTGCGAATTCGTACAAGAAAATGTATGGAGATAAGGAAACTTGTTCAAATATATCGACTATGAGCTTACGGGTCTTCGGTGCACGACTCGAAACATGTTAAGTGCTGTGTAACCTTTGCATCTGGGTTAAAAATGGCTAATTAGAAGTAGGTTTACTTACTTCCCGAAGTGGCCACTTTTATCTCCCGTTGTACGCTCCATTTCTCCATACATTGTCTTAAAATCTTGCCGAAGTCACGCGAAATACTCGTCGATTAGAGGATAAACCCTTCAATGAAGTAAATTTGCACGACTCGATATCACTTCTGCGATCTAAGATGTTTCCTAAACAGTCGTAAAAAGGACGATTTTGACACTGCAAAATACTTCCAAAGGCGCATTATTTCCCTCAGTTTTCCATCTGTAGTCCAGTAATGGACGACATAGTTGCGAATGACACATTTCGGTCGGGCAAAGCTTCACAACTCCAAACCTCACCGAATCGCCATTTTGTTTGTTGCTACAACTCCAGAGATGCTTCACGGGATATAAACTAGGTTCCAGGCATTCAAAAATCCTCGATTAGCCTACCAGGCTTGGTTTTAAAACAAAATTGTCACGAAAATGTCACGAAAGGTACATCCGCGTACTGTTTTGTTGCTATCAGCCGCTCGGCCGAGTATAAACCTAACATCTTCTTGCAAGGTGTTTTATTCCAGCTTTTTTCTTCGTAAAACAGATCCACAGAGCTCAAATTATTTTAAAAATCGCAGGGGATACGCTTTCCCTGACCACGATCGTTTTTGTCCGTCATTTTGAAAATGAGATTCCGCTGACAATTAATCACGGGCGCGAAATGTCCACGATTTCTGGCAATGGTATCAACTAAAGGGGTTTACTTCAATTACTGATATGTCCTAGTAACTATGTTAAGTTGGGGTAAGTATTACTTTATGCCCTTTTCAGCTTTTTCCGTCACCTTGATATCGTGTTACCCGCAGGAAAAAGAACTGCCTTGTGCTTATTCTTATTGTTTTTGTTCCCCATAATGGATCGAGTTCAACATTTCTTCGCCCCTTCCAACGTTTCATTGACACAAAAGGGTGTTTTGCTAAGAGTAAAAGGACCATACCTTTCCTAAGAGATAGCATATTGTTTGAAGTCCTCCTTGCTTTCTCACTTCGTCACAGTTACTGAAAATGAACACACCACGAAGATACGTAATGCACAGGGATATACTGATAAAACAAGTGAGCAATACTAATTATCAGGGCGACTGTCGCGGGCAAAAAACTTCTAGTGTGAGGAACAGGACTTTCACAAAAATTTCCCATGTCTCACGAAGCGAATCATCGCGGCGACCCGTCCCCGCGTTGTCTCGCCGGGACTTGTGGCCTTGCCGCCTCAAATTGCGAAAAAAAAAAGTTCCAAATTTTATTTTGTATAATATACAAAAACAACCAATAACACCTTGAAGCACTGCCAAATCGACTTTGGTTTTATACGAGTAGGAAGGCTTGAAGTTACAGGTTTAGGTTATGTCTTTCCTAGCGCAACTAAAAGTTCATTTTACAAAACAACAATCCAGGACATCGAGGAGAATTAGCTGAAGAGCGTCATCACCAAACAACGTCTGAAGTTTTACTGACACACCAACCAGCACGAGGGACTTTGATAAGGAAGAGTTTGGAGGGAGCAATGCCAGGGGCAAGCGGGGAGCCTAGAGAGTTAGAAGACGAATAAGATGGATTAAGGGAACAAAGTAAGCGAGGTGGATGACAGCTACGACGGACTGTTTACGGTCTACCTTTTCTCTTAAAGTCTGTCATAGTTTCTACCACCTCGCGTCCATGTGTTAACGCGTGCTACCTCAGCAACTTTTCAGTTAACTAAGAGACTGCGAGCAGTCTGTAGCCACAGAGACAAGAAAGATTTGCACAAGACAAAAACCGTTTCCGTGGTACGTTGATTGCTGCCATGACTAGAAATGATTAAGCATTAAGAGGGAATAAATAATAAATACAAATAGTACTTTAATTATCCTCTCCCCTAATGGGGCTTTTCAGGGATAATGAAACGAATAATTTGAAAGTAATTTAACATAACATGGTTAAAAATCCCAACTGGTAGAAGGCGAACCAGCTGGCTATTTCACAAGCGTTGCCGAACTCGGGACTACCGAGATCAAATCCAGCTAGCGGTCAGGGCTCGCGGGACTTGAACTCGGGGCCTTCGAATTAAAAGTCTGACAGCGCTCTAACCGCTTGGTCATGCTGCTTACAAGTCCTTTACAGTGATACTCATACCCCAGTTAGAGTTCTACGAAATGCAAAGCACGTTTCAGTCATAGAAACTAGAAAGAGTACACCAAACTGACCTGTCGTTACCAAAAGCTAAAGAGGCAAGACTTGTAAGAATGTGCTGTAGCACCAGCGGATCTCTGTTTAAACTCAATAGCCGACATAGCGCTTGGATTCCTCCACAGTCCCGTATATCATCCTTATACCTAAAGATAAATGCATATGGATTAGATACTCGGATAAACCTTCTAGCAATACAGCAACTTCAAACAGACTTAAGAGGGGATGTCAGTAAATATCGACCAGAGGTCTGCAAAACTGAAAAATCGAAAATTCTCAAAAAAATTCACAAAGTAGCACTAGGTAAGCTATTAACATAAATGTAATTTTTACTTCGATCCGATAATTATTTTCCACGTACGGGGGGGTTATTGGTTTCGCGGCTCTCGGACCGGGTTTTCCAGGCCCGAGACCATGTGTCACAAAAAAATCGTTTTAAAATTCAAATCCATTGTAATGTGGACAACAAATAACTTATTCAGAAGAGTTCTTAATTGTACACATTCTAAGTGGTGATTTTCTCAGTTTGAACGAAAGTGTAATATTTTGGAGATTTTTCATTATTTTCAATATTTTGATCGTTTTCGTTCAATGAAAAAATGGCAAATTTCAAAGCCCAAAATCGTCGACTGGTACCTCGATTTCAGTAACGAGTCTTATACCACGTAAAAGAGCGTTATCTCTTCTTTCAAAATCTGTTTTCAAAACTACGGGCAACTTAAAAGAAAATTTTTGAGGCCAAAAAATACAAGTAGTACTTTTCTGAAATTTGAGCTTTCCAGACTCAGCGGGCCGATGCTAAAAACTTGGAAAAATACAGTAAGAAATCAGTTTGAGCAATAGTGGTTTCATGTTATCAGCTTTCATAAACCAAAACGTGTTTATACAGCGATCTGATATAAATTAATGCCGTTTGCTATCAAGAAAAGCAGATTTAAGCTGTCAACTCCTGCCAAGTGCACCAGTCACGTGAAGTTGTCAAAGGGAGGGCAAAGCACTAATATAAAAAGTCTTAAAATTCAAAACGTTTTACGTCCATAAAATCAGATTTTAGCGTACAAAACAATGTTGTGAATGTCTGTTGTTCGTACCTTAGCATGGTGTTTCCATATGTTGGAAATGTCGAGTATCCACACGGGAGAACATACCAAACAACAACGTTTCAAATCCACGTGCCGAAAGATCGTAAACGGCAAAGATTGCGTTACATTTCACAGAACGACCGCTTACCACTGTTGTCACTCCTTTTTTCGCTGGAAGCTACGAGGAGTTTTCATTCCGTCATGAGTGATTCTTGATCAGCGTTTCCTTGAAAGTACGACCCCGGACAGGTGATAACTGAGGACGTTTCGTCAAGACTCCTGTTGTTCAGTTTCAGGCTTTAGCAGGTGCGTAGTCAGGATTTTTCCGGAGCTACGCCCAACTTTTTCTACATCTTCTTCCCCCCCCCCCCCCCCCCCCCACCCCAAATCTCAACATTTTTTTAAGATGCCTTTATTAAAGGTGGGGTTAACGGTTGTAAGCAAAAGCATTTTTGCTGTTTATGAAATGACACAACCTCTAAAATTCTTTAATTCTGTCGGCTTGTTATGTTCATTGACGTCAACCGTTTATCATTAATTCAGCTATTAAAAATCAAGCTTGTAGTACCTCCGACTTTAGTTTACAAATGACTCTTTTTACCCCTTTTTGTCACATTATTTTTTACCGACAAAAGCACCACACATTGACGTAATTATGCTCTACTTCGTCCACTCCGAAGACACGTCGTGGAGAAAACAACGCGTTCACGCTTTACATCATCAAGCTTGCTATATAAATAAATCATCCAAGATTCGGTTCTCCAATTAATGTCGTCGCTTCTCTGGAAACCGATTTTTTTAGTTATGTTTATTTCATTCTATTTTTTTTCCTCAATGTTTTCGGGCACGCACGTGCACCCGTGCGTACAAGTAGCTACGCCCCTGTTTAGTCTCCTTAGCCATGAGCGTTCCTCTCTTGCGGTTTCCGCGGGAGTTCAGGATGTGGTCCACCCAGTATTTCACGTCTCTTTTAAATGAGAGGCAGCACTTCTTGTTTACCGTTTCGTTATCAGACAGCGCTTAGGCTCTTAGCCTTTCATTTGATTTTGATCAAATTTTTCTCATTTAGTTACTCAGTATACGTTCGATCCTGTCCTTGTAAACTTATACTTTTATACTTTAGGGTAGCTTAATTCCTATATTAATTTTTTCTTCGTTTAGTGTCGACCAAAAGACCCAGTTTTTTGGCCTTTTTTAAAAAAGCAAGAAAAAGAAACGACAAGTTTTATTTTTTTTGGACTTAGATTAATTCTTTTAATCTAAAAAATTAGCATTATAACATCATTTCGAGGCATAAAACGTTCGGTGGTATATCCTCTTTGCGTTTTACCCTTCTTGGGCCTTTTTTTATGAAATTGACCATCAAATTTTCCCCCATATTAAATTTGTGTCGATTTGGTCGACCATGTCTTGTTGTTTTCAGTCTCCACGGCAATGATGCTGGTGTTTCAGGCCTCCCGTTCTCAGATTTCTTGTGATTTTTTTTTCACCCCACCGACCGACCCACCCAAAGCCAGGAAACCTATTCGACGCTAAACGAACGAAAAGGGGATGACCTAAGCCTTATGGTTTCTTTTTGGGCTTCCTCACCACATTGCTTCTGCGTGTTTCTGTATACTTGTCTTTTGCTTTGTTTTGTTCTTTTTTGTCGGTAAAATAAACTGAAACTGTACAAAGACCCTCAATATTCCCTTTGGAGGTTCTCGAACGCGCATAAAAAAAATGAAAAACGCGATGATTTATTGACCGCAAGGGCAATGGGGTGGGGTTAGGGCTCGTTACTGCGCTCCAGTTCACTCGTACGCTGTCAAACGGTCCCGAAATACAAAATGAAAAATGACTGTGGACAGACTATTCACGTCTAGACAAGATGGGACTTATCGCCTCTCCTGTTCATGGAGTTGACTCAAGGTGTTGACGTTAATTTCGTGATTCCTGCATGTTGCCAGGACATGTTTCAAAAGGGCCTTTCAAAGGTACGGAGTCCGCCGTCACCTTGTCAACCGTGCGAGAAATGATGTACTTCACAAAAACAAAGAGAAGTTATTTTCGATTTGCCCCGCCCCCTACCCCCGAAAGTCCCCGACAGGACCGCTTCAAAGTACTCCCCATGTGGTTGCGCGGGGGATAGTAACAGGTCTACCTAATTGCACCGTGCATCAAAGACAGTTTAGCTCAATCAGAAGCCCCTTTTCCCTGGCTAGTTCAAGGTGTGTGCACCTCCTTTAAGCTGTTGTTTTCGGTTCTTACTGAAATTTTTGATCTTGAGGAAATTCACAACGACAGGAGCAGGTTATGAGCTTTTTTCCTAGCCCTAATCCTACATCACGAGAAATCCCTCAGGTTAGGCAAGAATTCGATAATCCTTCCATAATCATCCATTTTTTCACCGCGTGAATTGGGTATTTTTAGCTTATTTCGAGGAAATACTTTTTGCTTCAAATCCAGGGTGGGCTTTTAAACACATTTTTTAAGCCAAATGGTTTTTGCAAGAATCTACTTACCCGAACTTTTCGCATAAAAACGACAAATACCGAAAAAAAAAGCTCATGTTGTTGTTGGTGGTGGCATATTTCCGATAAATTCAGCTCAATGTCTCGTGAAGAAGAGTTCAGATCCGTGCCCCGCGCCTCTCGAGGCAAGCGTTCCGTCGAAATGCGAGCCCAAAAACAGGTGGTAAGCGGTCAATCTGTGAAAAGTAACGCAATCTCCGTCGTTTGAGAGCAGCCGAAGATGGTCTTGCCGATGCTGTCCTTGATGTTTTTATCTCCATTATCTAGGAAACCCATGCTAAGGTATGAAACATACACTCGTAGGCATTGTTCTGTCCGCTAAAGTCTAATTCCTGGACGCAGAAACTTTGTGCTTTTTGAAGTTTATTATTGTGCTTTGCCCTTTGACAACCTTACGTCACTCGTGCGTTTGGTAGCAGAAGATGGCTAAACTCTGCTTTTCTTGTTGGAAAACGGCTTTAAATTTTATCAGATCGCTCGATAAACACGTGTTGGTTTCTGATAGCTGATAACGTTAAATCACTGTTGCTCAAACTGATTTCTTATTGCATTTTTCTGAGTTTTTAGCATTGACCCGCTGAGTCTGGAAAGCTCAAATTTCAGAAAAGTACTACTAGTATTTTTTGGCCTCAAAAATTTTCTTTTAAGTTGCCCGTGGTTTTGAAAACAGATTTTGAAAGAAGAGATAACGTTCTTTAACGTGGTATAAGACTCGTTACTGAAATCGAGGTACCAGTCGACGATTTTGGGCTTTGAAATTTGCCATTTTTTCATTGAACGAAAACGATCAAAATATTGAAAATAATGAAAAATCTCCAAAATATTACACTTTCGTTCAAACTGAGTAAATCACCACTTAGAATGTGTGCAATTAAGTACTCTTCTGAATAAGTTATTTGTTGTCCACATTACAATGGATTTGAATTTTAAAACGATTTTTTTGTGACACATGGTCTCGGGCCTGGAAAACCCGGTCCGAGAGCCGCGAAACCAATAACCCCCCCGTACGTAGAAAATAATTATCGGATCGAAGTAAAAATTACATTTATGTTAATAGCTTACCTAGTGCTACTTTGTGAATTTTTTTGAGAATTTTCGATTTTTCAGTTTTGTAGACCTCTGGTCGATATTTACTGACATCCGCTCTTAACTAGTTGAGTATATTCTTTGATGTTAGGTGAAATTGTACGAAACAGCTTGGACTTAGGTGGCCACCACACTGGATTTCCATCGAAATTATTGAAAGCGAACTTTTCTACCGCTTATTTTTGCTCTTACTCAGGAGTTAGAAGGAGTAGAAAATGTAATACACATTATATTACTCTGGTTTTTGGTAAATTGTGGATTTGGCTCTTAACTGTTCTATGGGTTAATGAAAACCAAGATTGAGCAGTGGAAATGTCGTTATCTACGTCTAAAGTGATAAGTTATCAGGAGGAATTAGATCTTAGCACACAGTAAATCCACCGCATAGTACCTGCTACACCCCTAATACCGTACGTGTACTAGGCTTACTTACAAACGGGAACCTTTTGATATCTCTGCTCAGTCAAACATGAGGGTTATGAAAATAAAGAAAACGATCACCGCCAACACCATACGAAATGTAATAGGTTGAAAAATAAGGGTATTCGCTCTAAAAATGTTGAAACGTAAGGACTTAAAGGGTTAAGGAAAGCTTTGGTCAAAGTCTGTTGGGATAATCTCTCAAAGAAAAAGCTCGCTCACCCTTCACTGTTCATTACGACACTTTGTATTTCCTTGATAATGTCTACTTTCCTCGCAGCATCCTGAAACAATGATAAAACACGGGTCAAATCGCCCTTCCTCTTCCAGGCGCTGTACACCAAATGTATATGGCGAGCACAGTAATGTTAAACAGCAACAAAGTTCTAAGAAATACTTTTCAGTCGTTCCGTGTAGTTGTATGGCACCTTACCCTGCATTGATGGACTTGAAGACACATCTGTGGTATTCTCTGGTAAGGAAACTGGAAAGCAAGGGAACTCAATGTCACTAAAATAAATACAGCGGTCTTCAATAAACACTTTCACACTCAGTCATTTATGGGGATCTGTACTTAGGCCCTAACGTTCGATTCTAGGGACAAAGATATAATTTATAGTACTTTTCGAGACACTGCGGCCTCAACACGGACACCTAGAGTGGGTCTATGAAGACTTTTAAACGCTTTCAGATAGTGGGCCGGCTTCGTAGACAATGCAGAAAGGACACGAGGAGAAATTTAGCTACAGAGCTCTTCCTTTTTCACTGCTGCGCAGTATTTGAACACCTGGAAAAGGCTAGCGGGCTCTGGGTCCCTAGTGTTCTCCAGTCGGCTGTTTTTCACTCCATACAAGCCAGACATGTCCGTCTCAGCGAACTGAAGCCGTGCGCCGGAGATTTTCTCCGGAGTTGTCGTTTAATTAAGCAAAGACGTAATTTCAGATGCAATTAACAACAAGCCAGATAAGTAAATTCTTAATTAGAACACGGTATAGAGTGTTTTCACTCACGTGGCTAGCATCTATGCAAATTTACTGAAACGAAAGAAAGCGTTTGCATAAGAAAAGAGTTCCATTCCCAGAGGATTGGTTTGGGACACCAACATGGCCGCCGTTTCATTGTTTTGGGACACCAATATGGCCGCCGTGACGTCATGTGAAAACACTCTATTCTCGTACGAGGTAAGAGTAGTCAATATTTCGTGGCTGTGTCTGTCGCTATAGCAACGCACACCGGAATGTTATTGTCCATCATGCGTGTTGACCATGTTGCGACAAATGATTTTCCTCATGATTAAAAAAATTCCCAAACAATAACACAAAATGCTTGGAAACCAAGTGAATGAGGAGTCCTTTAACCTTTTACATTTTGAGTTACACTGCTTTAGACGTGAAATTAATCAGTTTTTAAAATGTTGCCAATTTGAACTTTTCATTTTATTTTCCTTTTCTTTGAGATTCTGAAGAATAAAAACCGCAAAAGCAAAATCAGACAGGTGTTATTTCTCTTCCACCTGTTGATAGCGTTTGATGATACATCCATTCCAACAGAATACAACATACCAGAGCTGCAAATCATGTTCGACGAAATCTTAACTGTGGTCGGATATAATTCTGGACAAAATCGAGACTATCATTTTCCAGCTGAACTAAATCTTCCTTGAGCGCAAGGGAATTGCCGTACCGAGGAAACTACATATAGCAGTGAATATGAGACAGAGATCAGTCTATCTGCAAATCACGTGTCTCCGCGCATTCTGTCCCTTCAGAAAGAGAAGTGAACAGACACAGACGTGCCTACCATTTCTCGTACATAGAACCACAGGAGGCTGTACTTACATCATAACATTCCTGCTCGTCAGTTGCATCTCCAAACAAAAACTGGATTTAGGGGGAAAAAATACATCAATCAAAACCTGCGAACTAGTCATAACATTTAACACCTTTACGATAGCAACAGAGATCCAAAATACACGGCTCCCAGTATGATACGATGCTAAGGTCTCTATACAAACCTTGGTAGCCTCAGGTGTTGTCTGCGCATGTCCTATTGCGACCATCTCGTGACTGATGATGACGTCATGTTCTGTACTGGTGTCATAAAGCTCAATTTCAAATCTGTGGCTTCCGGTAACTAAAGATGCACTTTTAGATTTAACCTACGTTGAAAGGTAGAGGTAAAAGCGGTTACAATATCATTTCCGCGTAATTCATCGCGCGCGTTGCATCTTTTAGGTGAGAAATTTTAGCCTTTTTACAGACTGGTTGTTCTATCCTGTCAGTCGCTTACTATGAACGTTCTTGACGCTTCTGTGGATACAGATGTGTGTCTAAGGATAAACTTAAGGATGAAGAAGCGGTTACGCACATGCAGTTTTACTTTCTCCCAGGGGAAAAGACGTTATACCGCAGCAAAAGGACTCGATTAGAATTTCAGTTATTATTACCATATTACAGTTGAATTGTTGCTGACGTAATTATTGGGACTCATTCATGTCATCTAAAATCCAAGTTAATCAAAAAATAAAAGTTATCAGATATATTGTATTTATGACGGTTACCTTGGCAACAAGCAGCTGATCAGTTACCATTTCCCAGAATGCCTCACCGCTTTCTTCACTCCAGTCATTTTCTGTGAAGAAAACAAACCCAACCATGATTTAGTCACGTGCGTTTTCCACCCCTGCATGACGCGAGCTACACAGATTTGCTTCGTCATCGGATTGGTTTATTTAAAAATCTACCCGAGCGTAAAATTTTAATTCGGTTATACAGTCCACTCCCGATAACTCGAACCCTCGCTAAACTCGAACCAAAGTCAATTACCCCTGGATTTCCTTCATACCTTTACTATAATTTTACCCTCGGCAACTCGAACCCTCGATAACACGAACCTCCCGCTAACTCGAAACAATTTTACCCTTGTTAACTCGAACCACGTTTTAAGCGCGTGACATGTCGAAAAAATATCGGTGAATTAAGTACAGTCCAAAAAACTAAATTTATTTCAAAACAATTGTGTATCTTTTGTCTTTATAGCTTTTTTTTGTCAGCCCAATACAAATGAAAAAATGTTTAGCGCTGTACTGTGAAGTGTGCATGATACTTGCGTTCCTCCCTATCCCACTTCCTTACTTCTGGTTAGTTGCTTCGAACTCCCGATAACTCGAACTTTTTCCGATTTCCCTTGAAGGTTCGAGTTATCGGGAGTCGAGGAATGTCGGCTACATTATCATGCTACTTTACGGTGTACAGTTCATTGATGATTAATGCTCACCAATGGGTTGGACGTTAACAAGAGAGCATTCTATCGCCTGAAGAGGGAGCTGTAGAATGCCGCTCCATGCTGGGACAATTCTATCTCTTGTCACCCACTCTCGATCACCGAAGTCAACATAGAAGACGTCATATTCATCATCAGGCCTGCTCCCCATGACACGGGCTCTATACCACCTATTTTTGCAAAGAGAAAAAAAGTTATTGATTAAATTCTCTGAGTGTTTTCATACTTGTAAAGCTACCCAAGTGAAGGTACCACACCTAATGTGGCACATAAGCGAGAGAAAATCTCTCTTCAAAAATCTTAGAGCGAGAGTGAATGCGAGTGTGCGAGCGCTGTAGCCGTGAGCAGCGAGTTGTGCTGGAGCCAGTACGAACGAATACACTTTGTCACCGAAGTGTTGGGCTTCAGAAATGCTCTTTTCGCTCGTACTAGCGCACGCACAACTCGCTGCTCCGGCTCGCACATTCGCTTTCACTCCCACTCGGTCTCAAAGGAGAGACTGCTCGCCGTCTATTATGTGGTTTTTACTAATGAAACGAAACCGAATTGACAGTTCTTTCAGGCGTTACTATTCATAATGCAGTATTTCACAACACAACACTTAATAGCTTTTTTACGTTCTTTTTCAGTCTTTAAATTTGAACTCTCATGGAAGTTGCAAACGACTACTACACTGTTTCAGCATAACACTAGCAGCTGACTTGATTAGCTTAACTTACTTGTCATCCTCTGAAAACTTTGCGACACAATACGATCCAACTGACACTTCGGCTTCTTCAGCATCAACTCTGCTAACCCCGGAGTTGATCTTCTGCCTTAGATCCTCCAAGCTTTACAATAACAACAAACAAAAGTTGGAAGTTAGTAGTCCACCGAATTGATACCCACAGTAGTATGTTGCCGCCGGTATCCGTTTAAACATCTGGCCCGGACGGGGCAAACGATGGAGAGCGCTATCCCCCGGATAAATCACTATCCAGCGGATAAATGTTAGGGAAATCTTTTGGGTTATCCACTGGATAGAGATTTATCGAGTGGATAGCGTTATCCACCTTTTGAACAAAGGGGCCTGGGTGAGAAGAGATAAACTGGACCAAAGGTTTTGTCTACGGTCAAGTTCACACGGCACCGGACGAATTTTCGACCGGTTGAAAAATTTGATCGAACACTTCGTTCACATGGGACCGTTCAATATTCTCGCTAGGTTCACATGCAACCTCGAAATGTCTAAATATCCCTCTTCGAATGTCTAAATTTTCGTACGGTTAAGGTGGCAAACGACGCGACGGCAACGAGAACGTCAAAAAGAGCAATAGGTTTAATACGCAAAACAACAACTTTGCACGTGCATCACGCTTTTTTCTACATTTCGTTGCCGTTTTTGCACGACTACGACGTGAAAATGTCTAATTTCACGTTTTATGGAGGACGTAAACAAGCAACGACTACAGCTTATTTCTCTTTCTGAATTTGGATACGGTTCCCAGGAATTCAAGTTCAGGAGGGTTCACCTACATTTAACAAAGTAAGTGGGTAGGAATAATTGCGATAAAGACTGAAAGAACGCAAATTCACTTTTTAAGCGACGTTCTCGTTGCCGTCGCGTCGTTGGATCTTAAAGACCCTAGTAATCTATGAATACAGCCGTATCTCCGCGGTTGTCGCTTCCCTCCACCTGAAAAGTAACTTTTCTCGTCGTTTGCAACCAAAGCCGAAAGATGCGTCTGCTCACGCAGGCTAACCGCTCAGCCAACACACCATTATTCTCTTGTAGGTCGACGCCGTTTTGTCGGAGAAAGGGCCATGATCAAATTTCAGTAAACTCTAAACCGACTCGCGGTTAACGTTTATCTGTGACAATAAACCGTGCTGGTGCTGGCTGCCTTGTCCCTAAAAAGACGGTTCATCTGGGGATGAAGATTTATGACCTACGGACACATATCCTCGCGATCAGTGATATGAAAACAAAATGTCAATAACATCGCATATCACCTTTCTTCCGACGATTGTAACTGGATGAAAAAGAGACCTGGATTTTCCACAGCAGACACGTAAACAGAGTGGAATCCTTCCTCGGGCAAAATCACCGAGTTTAGAACACCAGTTGCATCATAACTATAACACAAACAACAACATTAAAAAGATACAGTTAGTTACACCACAGCATACCTAAGTTGAAGTTAATAAGTTGTGATGTGATTGAAAGTGATATTGGTTTTTATGGAACCCTATAAGAAATTGCCTACTTTGTATAAGACTTAACAAGTGGAAGTAAACAGCGAGATTAACAGTTACTTAATACCTGTTTTCTGTAAGACCACTTGACCCTCCTTCCAAAGGTGGCAGATAAATGAGTCCCTCGCACAAGCTTCTTAGAAGTCGCACATGCTGTAAAGAAATTATCAAACACCATAAGTTTTCAAAATTGCCTAAAAAAAAAAAACGGAAAAAACTCTAGAATCTGCTGGAGTCGTTCTCAACTGATTAGTACCTGCTTGTTGTCAGCCGCAAGTTTCTCTTCCAGTAACTCCATTCTTATGTTCAGGTTATTAGTTGTAACATTGATGGTCTCCAAATAAGTCCTTTCCACCAAAGGATCAAGCCACATTGTATTACCTAAGCTAAAAAGAAAAGTTTTGACATTGTCAAAGAAGTTCATGTCATTTGAAATCCTTGACAATGTAATGTGGTGGTTAGAGCGCATAAATAAGAAAATGCTTTGGGAATGTTCCATTGTTGTCTTCTCTGTTGTATCAACACAGAATCCTGGTCGTTGTCTCGTTCAAATATTGACGCCGTTGCAGGAACCTCGTGATTGCTTACGAAGCTAACAAATTGAAGTTCGTTCAACATGTTGCGGAGACAAATTTGCCTCAAACCTGTGCTGCAAGCATAGAAAAGGTATAGTGCACACAAAACGAACTATCCCTGTAATGTCCCTATACCCTTGTGTCTTCCAACCTTGAATCAGTGTTAACTTGTTAATCCTGATTCTCGGAATGAGTCGGGCGAGACGGTCGAGGCTGCAAATCTTGTCAATTGTGATCGCCAAGCGGTTTGGAGATTCCCGCATCGCATCAAATACTTTTCCCTTAAGATCGCTTCGATCACCTGAACTCTCTCTGGGGTGATTTTTCGAGTTTCGCAAATTATTGTTGGTTCGCTTTTGTTTTGACGTGTGGGCATTGTTCATTTTGTTTTGTAATCTTTGTAATACATTAACTGGTGATCGCAACCGTCCGTGAAATCAACAAACTACAATACGTTGAGACGACTGGGGCGATTATGACAATCCGAACGATTATATGGAAACAAACGTATATGCAGACTTGAGTTTCCTACAGGCAATTACGATCGCCCTTATAGTCCGGATCTTCCCGCCGCCATCGCATATTATCTTCTTGATCACCTTAGCACATTTTGAGATGCCTTGAGCGATCGAGGTGATCTGGGCGATTATATCAAAACTAGGCCTCAGGGAGCTTTCGTTCATGGGTAAAAAGAGACCATGTAAACGACATTTCTTGGCTAAGAATGACGAAACGTCTCTTAAAGTTCAACTATACCTCAATACCACTCTTCCTTCCATTTCCTTTCCCTCAATAAGGTGTTTGACAAAGAGTTTGCTCTGAAAAAATAAATAAGTAAATAAACAAATAAATAACATATGGCGGTAACGCCTATCTTTAAGTACCATTTCCTATGCTATGTCGAGCGTGGTACAATTGCTAAAATGTATCACGATCGGGATATATTTGATTTAAGTCAAGGTCATGTGAATCAACCAATGACAGTCCCTGTTTAGTTGAGTGAAAGTCTAGAAATATAAAAATAGATCTTGTTTACCCCCTCATCCTCCCGTCCAAAACATTGACAAAGCATGGTTTTTAATTTCTCTTGAGACGATTGCAATACCCAGGGCGAATTGGGAACAGTTCTTTTGTTTTACGTCACCTGTGTCCGGTACAAGAATTAAATGCCATAGTTAATGCAAAATTCCTATCCTCTGGATAGAAGTCATCGTATACTAAGACATGCTTCAGGCAAGGAACACGCATACACCAACCCATGGCCTGGCCAGTACCTCACGCATGCGCACAGCCATATCACCCGGGCAGTTGCAGCCATGGACAGCTGTTTCACCCTTATTGGGGCATAGCCGTCGAGCTTTAGAACGGGCGAACTCGCGACCCGACGGCTATGCCATGCTGATGAGCCCCAATAAAGGCGAAACAGCTGTCCATGGTTGCCACTACCCGTGTGATATGGCTGTGCGCATGCGTGAGGTACTGTCCAGGCCGTGAGTTGGTGTACGTGTGCCCCTTGCTTGCCTCATCGTAAACTAGCCGCATTACGCTTCTCCGGCGAGTTTACACTGGAGAAATAATCATTATGTTATTGTGGTTTAAAACTGTACCTTTACGGTCCACTCTTCATCTTTGTCAAGAGGTTGCACTCTACACGCAAATACTTGAACAGCCTGAAAATAAAATAAAGATGATGTGACTAAAAAATATTTCCATCTTTCGTTATCTATCCCCTTACAAAATGCTTTGACATAGTAGCTTAAAGGCTTGTTTATAGTGGGAAGTGCACTTAGGTTATCCAGCTAGTTTTCATGCACTCCACTCAAATACGTAGAAACAAATAATTCAAATACAACATAACAGGATTAAAAACCCCAACTGGCAGAAGGCAACTACATGGCTATTTACAAGCATAGCCAAGAATTTGAACTCGGGAGGACCGTGAACAAATCCAGCAAGTGGCTCACACCCGGGACCACCGGACTGTGAGTCCGACATGCTGACCACTCGGCCATGCTGCCTCCTTGCTCCTCCTCCTTATCCTATCATACAGGTCACATGCCACAAACGAACCATAACCCAGTTTACAAGTAGCCTTAGCAGTGGCTGGAGCACAGGGTTAGCCACAGGTGGAGCTTCAGAGTTTGAAACCAGTCGGACAAAGGGTGTTTCCTATCTTCCGCGCAAAGAAAGAAAACATTACTCAAACTCTTGACCTCCCGTTTATGACAATCTATTGACCATGTACAAGTTCCGTCTGAGACTGGGTTGATGTTGCGTTGAAATACGCTATGGGACTGTTTTGGGGACGAATCCTGCGCAACTTTGTTTAAGTTAAGAAAAGAAGCCCCTAATCGGGCCCATAATGCAACTCGAGGTAACACCGACCAAATCTCACATGCACCCGCACAATAGCCAATTGGCAATTTCCAAATTCCAAAAACTCTCACTTTCAAAATGAGGCTAAGTGCAAAAGTCTCTCTTATGAAAATGGGTTTTATTTGCCTAATTTTCATATCAATGGCTTCGCACGTAGCCTCGCTTCGAAAATACATGGGACAACTCAGACAAGGCCTATTACTGAGTGTAAGCGTACATTTGGGATGGTATTTTTAAACTCGAGGTAAAAAAGGAGTCTACCCGAATTTACGGACATGTCAAACACAGACCGGAAAACGGCGTATTTAACGGTCCCTAGTGCAAATTAACATTAGTCCAACATCTGAAAGAAGAATATACCTGAAATGGACAGGAATGGAACTGTGGTGGAAGTTGAAGGAGTCTATTAACATCTACATCCTCTTCAAAAGCTCCTCTATCAACATACTGAACCTAGAACAAGACACAATGATCTGTTGAGTGAGTTTTAGAAGCTTGTTCTTTTAAGAATAATACCACCACTGCCTGGTTACTATGTGTTGTCACACATATGAAAGGGTACCGCGACGTGTGAATTAAAAAGTGCAATAATAATAATAATAATAATAATAACAATAATTAGTTAATGATAAATAATGTTTATTGAACTGAGAGGAGTGCAATAAGCTACTTTCGATATATCAAAATTCAGCATGATAGCGAGTCTTAGAGGACACAAACAAAGAAAATGAATAAACACAAATAATCATGGTTTATTCATTTCTTTGTTTGTGTCCTCTAAGAGTCGCTATCATGCTGAATTTTAATATACCGAAAGTTGCCTATTTGGTCTGAAATCATACGCGTGGACAAGCGCTCAGCACGAGTTCGATTTTAAAACACAAGGATGATTTCAGACCAAAACTGCACGACATGAAATTCAATTACCACTTTATTACAACCATTTTGAAATCGCAGCATTCAGACAGTACCAATATTTTATTGATCTAGTAGCCGGTTTGTTGAAAACCGGAAACAAAAAGGTTTTTACATCTCATGTTGTATTTGAAACAGAAATGATGAGATTTACATGTAGAGCGAAAATGGTGCGATTTAAAACAGAAATGACGTGATTTAGAACATAAATGACGCGAATTAGAACAGATGTGATGTAGAGCCAGAAAATAGTGTGATTCGTGAATAAATCACACTGCTGATAGCCAATGAGATCGCAGTGATCACAACTAGTGATTTCAAAATGGTTATAGTAAAGAAAAAATGTACATCAAACATGGTAAATCACCGCTAAAACGGCAAGAGAAAAACAAATAAAGTTGTTGTTGCTGTTTGGTACCTACATGTAATACGCCTTTTCATCACAAGTAGAGTCAAACCCCGTTAATACAGAAAGTGAGGGGGCCATAGAAAATGCCCGTTTTAACGGGATGTTCGTGTGACTGTGTAGGTGTCCGTGGGCGGGGTTCAACTGTACCATTTTGACACTCAATTACACGAGAATGCGTACATGCAGCATTAGGGGCGCACCCTCTTAACGTTAATGCGCCATTTATACTTTTCTGGCAGGAATCGCGCAAGGACGCGCGCCTGTTAAAAATACAGCTATTTGTTCCAGCAAGGATAGGGTAACGCAACAGAATCATGTTAACAACCAAAAATTTGACATTTGCGCGCTCTATAATGACAAGCTAAGATTAACAGTCATATCACTTATTAACAACCCAGAAAAGTCTCTGGAATTATTTCAAAAGCTGAACACCCCGCCTAAACAAGTCCAGAAAAAGTCAGTGGTGGGAAGAATTTAAAAAAATGCTTACCACAACATACTTGGGCTTCTTGCTAGCGTCATCCACACCTGTGATTTTACAGATTTTTACTCTGAAGATAAATACAACAAGCACCACTTAAAGAAGACGTTGTTTTCTTGTCGTTTTTGATTGAAATTGTTTACATTCATAGTATCTGAGATTGAGCTTTTAAGATCAGAGTAAATGAAGTTCATGATGAGTAGCAACAACAAAAGAGACAATAATCATTTAAAAAAGGCAAAATTGCTTGAACACTAACATCCCGCAGTTTAGGAAGGGCTATTAATTTTTATGGAGGGTTGTAAATACAAAATATTAGTTTTAGTACTTTAAGGAGCGTTATTATTATTATTATTATTATTATTATGACTTAATAAAGCTCTGATATCAATATTAGATATTTATTATTATTAATATTAGATATTAATATCAATATTAGATATTTATTATTATTATTATTATTATCACAATCATCAGCATCATTAACATTATCATTATCATTATCATTATCATCATCATCATCATCATACACTTTTGGAGGAAGTTTTTCTTTGTGCATGTAAACAAGTAGTAAGTCACAGCTGTACCTCTGAAAAGAGTTCCCACACATCATAGCACAGAGATCTCCAATGGAAACCAGTTCATGTTTGACCCTGTTAGCTGGATTGGCATACCACCCACTAACAGACATGGTGAGTTCCAGAAACTCAGTACTATCTATGATATGGGTGCTGCTGCTGGTCTGATCCGCATTCCCAGGTCTGTGCTCTAAAATCCTCACCCAGTAACATGATGTGTCCTCTACATAGAGGACCAGCACCTAAAGGAGAGGAAATACGCTGTGGGCGTCAAGAGGAACCCGCAATCCTAATCTCCAGGTTTCTATTACGCATGCACGGCACGTGTTTGGCCCTCCACTAAAAATGAATGGAATGCACAGAACCCAATCTGATTACCCGCATTTGGACCTTCTAACAATCGTAACCTAATCACCCGTGTTTTGAGCTTCTATCACGTGAAACTTGCTAAGGCACAGCACTGGAGCAAAAGCGTTCGACCGTTGACACCCACGCTCGGTGACCTTCGGTAACTACTAGCATAAAAGATGTCTATAAACATCAAAAAGCTATGGTTAAAGACACATCTTTGGGGGAGCAGAAATGGAAAAGGGGTGAGAGAGCAGGTCTCCCAACAATTTGACCTCGGTTAAAGTCCCCTCGTTGAAAACGAAACCCGGGTTAAATTTAACCCTGGCTTAAGAGCTAATCGGCCTTCTAACAACGGTGGTAACCCTGCGATGGACTAGCACCCCGCCCAGGGGGGAGTAGCAATACTCCTAGGCATGCTTCATGCTAAGAAAACCGGGATAAGCTCCGGCTGTTTGGCCCTTTGGATCGTGTGCGTCATTACCTGTTTTTTACCGGGTCAGCTTAAAGCGAGTTCCACTTCAAACAAGTTTCACAATGATATAATAGTATTATGTACAAGATTCTGTACCTTTTTTCTTTCTCAAATAGCAGGAACTAGGGAAATTCAAAGTATTAATAGGGTGGATTGCACTACAAACTTACCTTCACTATGCCTGATGTAGGAATGCCCTCGAATGGCTTATCACGTTCCGCCAGGACTGTGTGCCTGTTTTGGCATCTTTTGCTAGGGCTTTTCAATCTGCATATTACATATGGAATTGACATGTAAATACGTTAATACCGAGACTTTGCAATATTTTGCCTGTTTCAGTTCCTACTTCAAACACTGAACTACTTGACTAGTAATAACCAAAGGTTAAGGAGTGCGGGCGACAACGATCGGAGGTCCAAACTTTGCTCCAATGCTGTGCTTTGCGTAAGTTTCACGTGACAGATGGTCAAAACACTCGTGAACAGATTACGAGGGATAGAAAGTAGAAACGTGCGTGATCAAATTGCGTTTTGTGCACTCCATTCACTATTAGTGGAAGTCCAAACGAATTTTGGCTACATACATGCGACGCATGCGTAATAACAACCTGGAGATTAGGATTGCGGGCTCCTCTTGTCGCCCGCAAAAATCATGAACAATGTATGTTAAGGTGGCTGAACACAGTTTTGGCAGTTTCTGATTATAGGTCATTTGCCAAATTATGGCAAGAGAAAGGTTGCAGCTCACAAGCTGAAACTTGGCAAGTGAAAAATATAATGATGAAAGATTTTGACTGACAGGCAAAATTTGACGTTTTCGTAGTTTCCATGACAACATGAACGATTGAATACAACCTTAAAATTTCACTTTTACTCAGTTTACATAAAATTCGCTCATTAGATTTTCCTATAAACTCGCACACAGCTTACTATAATTAATCATTACTATTAGGAACTTATTTGACCAAATTTTAACGAAGGGGTTTTCAGATAATCAATAGTATAATTGTACTGCTATTATTAAATGTGTCACAAAATTCGTCTGTTAAACTCCCATTTTAAAGTTCTCATTATTTAAAATACGATAAAAGTAAAAATTCTGCCAAATATCACAAAATTTTAATGAGTAGATTTTGAGAAATCGTCTTCTGTCTTCCACTGCTTTTTTCGCCGCCATGTTTGTTTGTCTAATTTAAAACATGCGCTACCGCTGACCACCCGCGAAACTGTGTTCAGCCACCTTAAAACATTAACATTTTGTTACAATTACAGGGAGTCGTAGCTGGACAATGTTGGTATTGCTTCTGTAAGATATTGATCTACAAATACATACTCCACAATCTAGTCTAGACAATCTGCGTGGTAATATGCCATAAAATTATGCGGGTTCAGTTCATTGTTGCTTCTCCTTTGCTCCAAGAGGTTTTTCTCCTCAAAACCAACATTTCCAATTTCCACTTCAGCCATGAATGGCAGACGAAGGGCACTTTCCATTTGCCAGAACTGACCGGCCAGACCATTCCCATCGTTATGAGAATTTTACTTTTAATAAAAACTATCCAGCCAGATCAGTCAAATCCTAAATAGTATGCATGAAGGAGATGGTTTTTCAGCAAAACCCTCTGGAAAAAGCCCATTTCGCTTGCTAACTGACTGGTCCAACTGGCCAGTTCTGACAAATGGAAAGTGCCCGAAGAACCACTATGTGGATGTGTGATAGAATTTTTATTCATATTCATTTTTTTCATTGCCTTACACATAAACTAATTCCCGTTGATATGAGAAAAAGAATACAGGACGAATATACACTGTAAGGATCTTTATATCCTACATGGGTGTGTATTTTTTGTCACTTACACATGTTGTTTCTGTATTTTAGTTTTCTTTTTACATGGCACAGGCATTAAAATAATTATAATATCTAAAAATAATAATGATATATTAATAATAATAGTAAAAATATTCAAAACTCCTAACATTGATAGGTACATTGTAGTTAATTTCTGTAATACTGTACCTGCAGGTGCCAAAAGCTTTAAGAAAATAACATAAATCCTTGTTTCTATCTCTTTCCTGAGTAATAAAACGAAGAAAAACAAAGTAAGAAAACCTTTAAAACACGACATACAGGTAGTGTTAGAAACACCAATAAAAACACAGACTTGGCATCACCTTGTTTTCGTAGAAAAACTGTACATGTATGCAGGCAAGAAAATAAAGTACAGGAAAAACCCGCGAGTAAAAAGCCTGGTTTTTAAGAACCTTTAAGGCTAAAATTAGCCAGTTATGCCCCCTCTATACAAGAACCTGTTTATCTTAAAATTTGAAATGGGTACCTATTTGGATTCTAAAATCTATATATATAAAAAATTTCTGTACACTTGGAAGGCTGTGCTTTAGCAGTGCCCAGCGACTCCCAGTGCCCAACTTTTGCTCCCGGGCAACTAGAAAATCTTAGTTTTTTTTCACAGAAATCATATGCTGGGCACCCTTGATTTTACAGGTTCAGAGCACTGGGCTCCCTTAAATTTTCTTTAGACCACAGCCTTGCTTGGGCAAATAAAATGGTGCATTACAATACAAGTATGTTATGTTCTGAAGGAGGACTTCAAACTTCATGTGGTCAGCACTTCAGTTCTTCTTCTTAGTCATTTAAATTACATATATAATTATTCTAAATTGGAATACAGATTTTATAAAAATACATTGTACCTATAAGGAATAAGCTACATGAATGTACTTTTTTCCTTCAAAAATAAGAAACTAATAGTTTTAATTTGTGCTAATTACCATGTTACATGTATGTAAGAACCTGTTTACGCTAACTTATCTTGGGAAAATGCAGGTTCTTGCTCTTACTGTATCACATGACTGAACACTCTCTGTGGTCTGTCTACAATGTGCAACCATGTTTGGACTGGTATCTTAGGGTCTTCAATGACAGACTTGCCTGAGTTGTGATTTCCACAATTTCTTGTAATGATTGTGGCACCTCCTGACCACACCTTTTTAACAACCGAGCAATGTTAGCACCATTGGCAGAACTGCATCTTTCAGTGACCATGAAGAGGGAAACACAGCCATGCTCCTTGAACAATTGCAAGAAAGAAACAATGATACGTAAATCAAAGGTTTAGTGTGGATTTCACACGTGTGACTAGTGGTGACGTGAAATTAAACTTATTTTTGTGATTATAGTTTGCAAAGAGACTGTAATCATTACACTATACCCTTTCATGCTTACATATACACTGTATATGATACTCGATACGCTCTTCTCACTTATGGTAATATGCCCGTCTAACCTCGTTTACGGGTAAAAATTATTTTGAAATTCAAATACGAAAATGTCGTCTGATTAGCATTTCAAAGGACTTTTTACTCAAAAACGAGGTTAGACGGGCATATTACCATACGTGAGAAGAGCGTATTGATGTTATGAGAACAAAATTTTTAAAATGGCGTAAGGTTGATTGCTGCATTTTAAGACTCAAAGTGGGTCATGCCATCGTGTTTGGTTTCTAAAAATAAATGACTTCATTGCAATTTAATATTGCAACTGAAGATTCGCCCACGGATTACAGCAGGGCAAAGAATGTACTTCTCTTCTGGATGCATTTACACAAACAGGCGTTGGGTTAATGGCACGAAAAACAAGAGGAGAACAGCAAGGAAAGAGGGCGTAACCTAACAATGGTTAAAACCGTCTGCGAAACAGTGCTGATATCCTTGTTCCGGGTCCCTAACAAGAGGATGACTTACTGGAAATGTGTTTCGAATTTTATTTACATGTATCTCCAACTTGACTGGCAAATTGACAATGGCTTTTTTAACAGGCCAATCACGGCACGTACTTAAATCCTGGTATGCAGGTGAGGGCCCAGAACAAGGATTTTGGTGCTGTTTTGCAGATGGACTTAGCTGAAAGTTTATTTCCATCCGTGGCCCAGGCTACAAATACCACTGGCATTTTTTTTCAGTCATTTCAATAGCATACTATATTATGTACTTTATGTTCATCAAGTTGACAACTCATAAATAAAGCTGCAAATAAGAAATGAACCGAGTTTTCAGTGAGAATCATGCTGTCAGTGTGTAGGAATTCCCCTTTCGCCCTCCATTCCACCTCCATGAATTTATCATTAATAATATTTATAGATATTTGCAGGTGCCAAAAATCATTCACAGCCACTCACAATAAACAATCTTAATAAATGGTTGATATTAAATTTAATATACATGTATATTTATTAATGTGTCTGATATTTATACATGTATTTGCTGTACCTCTGATGATGTGAATTTTCCTGCAAGAGTAGTTAACCTCCTGCGGAACTTTTCCTTGCTAGGAAAGGTATGGTGAATAACACAAGAAGCATTTGTGATGTTCATTCTCTCAATAACATCATCAGTCATAACTAAGGGAGATAAAAAATATAATCAATGATTGAATGATAAGAAACAGGAATACATGTAGCTATAGTATGGTCACCGAGTTTAAACATTATAGCAAGACAGACAGAGAAAAATAATGTAAAACTTACAACATTAATTTAAAACAAGGAATAAGATCACACAGTAATTTGTGTTGAGGTACATGTGTGCAAAAAATGGTTAAAGTCCAAAGCGATTATAATAAGTAATATCCATAAAGAGGAAATAGTTTGGTGTTAGACCTACATGTAACTTAAAATAGATCACCAATGGTTTAATGAATCCTACCAGCCTTTTCACCTCATGATTTTGTAAACTTTTAAACAGTTGATTTCAATATTACCTCTTTCCAAACTAACCTCCTCCCTATTGATCTGTTTCTGCCTATTTTTTTTTAGCTATTTTTTCTCCTTCTTCTTTAAACTTTCCTCTGGACAGTATTACATTTGGACCTTAAGCAAAGTAACAATTTTCTGGCACTTCCACTTTTGAGAATAAACCAACCAAATTTAGTGGCCTTGAATTGCCAAATCGAGTGAAAAAAAAAAAAAAAAATAGGCAAAAGACGAACAGTCAAAGACAATGTTGTCATGTAACTTGTATTATTAAATTGAAAGGTGTCCTCAACCTGCACCAGAATGAGCAAGACTGAATCAAGGATTCCGGAGAAAAAAGGCAAAAATTGTGCAACTAGTACCCTTCTTTCCATCAAAAAACCTAAAAGCTTTCCCAAAAGCTTTTTCCACCAAAGTGAAGCCTAGTAAGTTCCCAGCACACAAACAAACGAAAAAAAATTATGAGGCAAGAAAAGCAAAAGAAGAGAAAGCAAAAGGTGAAAGTCGACACCGCTGTATCACTTTTACACCCAAAACTGAAAATTTTGCTTTCTGTGCAGATGCCCAAACTTTGGAAGCTGATATTTAGCATCTGAAACAGAGTGCACCACCTGTAGATGGATTTTTTGTAAGTTTTAACTCTTTATAGCCAAACAGTAACCAGAAAACAACTCAACTTGCTTCAAAATGTGTTTTTCTGCAAAATTCCCAAGGGCCAGTGGGTTAATACATGTTTTATTAATAACATAATGATTATACAGTACCCAATACAGGCATAGCATCAGCAGAATGTGGGGTGTTCCACTGTCTCTTCACATTTGCAAGTTCTTGGCCACTTGAAAACTCAGTTGCCACTAATGTGTAACAGCAATTTGCTTTAAGAAATTCCCCAATAGCCTCTGCCTCTGAAGTCTTTGATGTGAAAACACAGATGTCCTTTGTGTCATTAAAAGACTCTATGTACCCTGTGATGAAAAATAAAAGCACAGAAAGACAAAAATAATAACTATAAAAATATGATTTATTAGTTTAATTAGTAAATTTATTAGTACTCACAAAAGGAAAGGAAACTTTCGACCTTTTGGTTAATAGTTCAGATGCTCTACTACTGAGCTACAAAAGACTCATTATTATGGGATAAAGGTACAGGTGTACATTGTAAATGCAGTATAAAAAAGTACAAGACAACAAGTAATCTTAGTTCAAATCTACACAATCTTACATGTATAGGACTGGCTCCTGTTGTTCAAATGTTAGATAGTGCCATCCACCCGATAAATTGCTATCGAGTGGATAAGTATTAGGGAAATCAATTGCATTATCCACTGGAAAGAGATTTATCCAGTGGATAGCGTTATCCACCTTTCAAACAACTGGTGCCTGGTGTACAGTGTACATGATTGTTACTGCAAAACCCATTTTGACAAAATTCGACTTTGAAGTAACTACGGAACAATGGCAACTTAGGTTGAACAGGGTGTTCATAAGGCATTGGAGATCAGAGAATTCTCCATTTATCATGCAAAATTTTTTGGTTAACTTTCGATAGCCTATGACTATTTTTTATTCAGACGTGGTTCCTCTTTCAAAATATTATTCTCCTATAACATCACACCTTTCTCCTTCTAATAGAATTCTCAGTGAAAACCCTGATGAACCAAACTGTCAGATAAGTGTCAGCCTGACGTGTTAAGGTAAGTTGTATGAATTAGTTCAGTGCAGGAGAGGACCGCTGTATGATTCAATTGCTACTTCTAATCAGTGTTGCATGACAGTCATGACATAACAGTCTCTCTGGGTTTTACACAAGTAACCTTGCATGCAGCTCCAAACTAGACTGGCAAAAATACAGGACAGCAAAAGAAATGAAATTTGCCTTACCTAGAAGTTTGTCATTCCTTTGAGAAGCAGAACAAACAGTTACAATTTGCAAGACGTTTCGATAAATAGAGGCTTCTATCAAATCTGAGATAATCAACACAGGACTCCCTAGATAAGCCTTCACCAAAGATGACAAACCCACACTCCAAGATGTTGCCATGACAACAGCTTGGCGTGGCGCCAAGCGATTGGGTTGGGATTTCAATAGCTTGGCATAATGTCTCATAATGTCTTTAATCTCGGATGTAAAGTCTTCAACCATGACATCCGCATCCTGAAAAACTATGTGGCACAGCCTGCCAAGATTGATATAGCCTTTTCGGAGCATGCGAACAAAACAAGGGGGTGTAGCAATCAGAATCTCACATCCATTCACCAACTGGACAATCCTTTCATCTTCTGCACCTCCTCCAAATATCAGCTGTACACGAATAACCCTATTTCGTCCAAGCATCCGTGTACAGTAGTAATATACATTATCTCCCCTAGCCCAGGTGGGCACCAGAATGAGCAGCTTGGGCTAAAAAAATTGATACAACATACATGAACAACTACTTTAGTAATTATTTATTATTATATTGTTAACACCATTTAATTGACCCTGTCCATTTTAAAAATACATCTACAGAAAAAAGATTCCTCTGCTATTCTTGTAGCGGTTGTCAAATTAATGATAGTGAAAGGTTCCCCATGGTTTCAAGTGACAAACCAGACTCAGAAAAATTAGGAAAATAAAAATGACATTGGCCAAAAAATAGGGCTAAGTAGGACTTGCAATCATAGTCCTACTAATTCAACACTTTTGTTTCCCTAATAGTTAAATGTATCTGTTGGATAGTAAAAATATCTGTAATAGAGCTATGCAATAATTATTTTAATGAGGCCAGTAATACGGTGTATGATAACTTGAAATACATTGGTGCCACTTGCACACAAGGTATGAAGCAGCCAAAAACAAATAAAATTGATTATCAAAGATTTTTGCTCTGTTAGCAAAAAGTAAAAATGGTATGAGATCGGTAACTTATCAACTGAAGCTAGGCAATGCTTAATAACTACAGCTGTAGCTTTAATTTTTGACAGTGAAGGAGACGATAGTTTTAAAGATATCATTTCACTTACCCCACTTCCAGATGGAAGATCTGCGTACATTTGTTGTTCTTCAAGTAACTGATAGATGATAGGAACTATATAAGCAAAGATTTGTTGTTCGTTTACTGCACTGCAAACACCCACAACATCACGACCCCTCCTCAAAGCAGGCCACACATGTGCCTGGAACATATCTGGAGATTTGTTATGTATACCTAAACTTCGTGCATAATAATCATATGGGGTTTGTTCTAGAGAAAATACTGGTCTAGGAGCTGGGGCACCCTCTGTTTGGACAAGGACACCATCAGAAAATGTTATTTTTCTTCCAGTAGTGGGATCCACGGGTGAAATTGGAGACTGAGATGAGATAAATCGTTCTGAAGGAAGAGGTGACTTGATGGAAGAATTGGAACTTTGAGAGAAGTTGGCATTCAGTGGAGAAGTTCTGTCTGCTAATGCCTGTTTCTCTCCATAAACAGTAGATTGCGATAGTGAGGGCTGGTATCGCTGAGGTAAACTTTCATACTGTTGGTGTTGAGCTGTGGCATTAGAATGATGATGGTGTGCACTAGAGTCCTCCAATTGCCTGTTCCACTCTCCAGTATCACGCCTTAGAGATTCTGTCAAAGATCTTAGTTGATGGGAAATTCTTTCTACTTGGGGCCGTTCAGTATCACTGTCTATGGAGGGCAAGATTGCCTCTGGGCTGTGAGCAAAGTTTGGCTTTTGCGAACTAGAACGCAAATGATCTATTTGACTTCTAAACAGTGCATCCACACTAATAACAGAAGAAGATACAGGCTCTTGCCTTGTTGCATCTACTGAATAAGTGTTACTATCATGCAAATCCAATAAAGGCATTTCACCATAAGAGTAACCAGAATCGTTTTTGTCTAATTGCACTCTTTTTCTCTGAAGTGAGTCCTCTGGCTCACTGGATGAGCCACTGTATTGATGAGAAACTGAATGGGGACTTCTTTTCTTGAGAATTGGTTTTAGATTTCCAATCTCTGGAGATTTTGATGGGATTGAGTAACCTCTAATGTTGCCACTTCCAGTCGCTGGGAGCCTTGATGATAGAAAGCGCACTCGACCGGAGTTTTCATCACTGGAGAAGTTATCTGCTCTCCTGTACTGTGATTCACCTCCAACAGTAAGACCAGATGATGCTTGTGGTGAAAATCTTTGCGAAGAAGCCAAATGACTTGCACTGTCAGGAATTCTTGCTGAAGGCTCACTAAGCACACCACTCTCAACACCACATGAGCCAGAAATCTGCCTTCTCAAAACATTCACAGGGGATTCCGAAGAACTTAAGAAGTGGTGGCTTTTTTTTTGATAATCCAAGGATTCTTCATCGGTGCTATTTGATGACTGCTCACTGCAGGTTAATTTGCCATGGCTGATGTACTCTTTCAGGTTTTTTATCACTTCTGATCCTTGCTTCTGGAACTCATCATTTAAGGCTTGTAGTTTCGCAGCTTTGCCTGGGCTTATGCCTGAGTTTTGCACAGTGTCAAAGAAGTTTGTAGCAAATCCATTGATCACCAACTCATCATTGATGCAAACCTGACAAAAAAATTATCATTAATACAGTCCACTCTCTCTAAGACAGACACCTTTGGGACCGGCACTGAGTGTGTCTCAGAAAGGTGTCCGTCTTATAGAGAGTCAAATAGAGGGAGTAAAGAAAGGCAGGGACCAACTCTAAGTGTCCATTTTTTACAGAGGTAACCATTAAGAGAGAGTCGAGTGTAGTAACAGTTCTCTTAGAAAACAGCTGACATTTTAACGCCACCACTGATTTACCCATGATAATGATGTCAGAGAAACAAGCTCGCTGAAATTCCGTACTGATAACGCATCACTACCTAAGTCTGGGTAGTGCTTCTGATTGGTCATGCTGCAGGGAAAATTTGCTTCAACCAATCAAAAAGCACTACCCAGATCAAGTTAGTGCTCGTTTCTCAGACGCCATTTTGCAGGGAAAGAAGTGATGGCGTTCCAAAATGTTGGCTGTTTAACAATATTGTGCACTGTACTGAGAACATTCCACAACATCTTTTCCATTGGGCCTGAAAACTAGTTACAGTACATTGCATGTTTTCATCCAGATTTCTATTGCACTGGTCAGAAAAAAGCACTAGAAAGCATACTACGTGTATAACAAACTGTACATACAGTGAAACCTCTATTAAGTGGACACCTTTGGGACCTTCCTAAGTGTCCGCTTAATAAAGGGTGTCCGCTTAATAGAGTTTGTAAAAATTGCACAAAGTTTGTGATAAAGTTCCAAAGAACTTCTAGGTGAACTTTGATGGCAGATGACAGTCATACGGCCGGATATCAGTCTAATCTTCATTTTATTAACAGCTAAATGTATTGATTTATCCTTATTAATTGACTACAGTTCGTATTTCAAGGACGTAATCCAATTGTCAATTCAGTCCGGTGTCTGCTTAATAGAGGTTTTTAACAATAGAAATTAGCCAAGTGCAATTTATTATTTTTAGAGTTCACGTCCGCTTAATAGAGGTGTCCGCTGAATAGGGGTTTGTTATACAGGGAAATATAAGACGTTAATTTCCAGACATGGCTTAGTGTCCAATTTATAGGGGATGTCCGCTTAATAGAGGTTTTTGCATCAAAAGTCAAAGCATTTTGTAATGTTACTCACTTGGCTAGTCAACATAAATATGTTAGTACAATTATTTGCCATAAAAGAGAAGAGAAAGAAAGGACATTCAGGGCTGTCAAAACGTTTTTAATAATAATAATAATAATATTTATAGAGGGAGCCCAACTCACCAAGGCGGTTTTCAGTGGGGCCCTCATGCATTAATCTAACTAATTAATTAATAGTAATATTACGAAAAAAGTAAAATATGTTTACAAGTAAAACAAATTTTAAAATTTTAAATCTTAAAATCGATTATACAAAAAATATCAAGGTTTAAAATATTAGCTGAGATCTTTTAAAAACGTTTTTAACTTGAAAGTTGAAGTTTTTGTAACTTGAAGTTTTTAACTTGTTTTTAAGCAGCAGGCTCATAATGAATAGTAGGTGGCTTTGGTACTTGCACTAAAGGCACAATTTCTTGAGGACCAAGGCATCTGGGAACATTTTGAAATTTTGAGAACCAAAATGGCATTTCCAGAGGTTTTCAAGAGGTGTTTTCCACTGCAGATGCCACGTTGTTTCGTCAGAATAAATGCAACACTAGGAACAATGCCGCTGAAATGTCCCGCGCATTCCACCGACATCGCACAGTTCAAACGTTTCCCAGATCTAACCCAATTTAAATATGCATTCAATGTTATTCAAAACGGGAAACGGTTGCTTTACAATAATATTCTATTTGATGGTGCTTATGTTTCATTAGCAGTATGGTACATGTAGAAGGAGATGAAAGTAGCCAGCTAAGGACAGCTCACTAGCCGACTACCGGCCCTTATTGACAGCCCTGGAAATTCTTAAAAGGCTTTTTTTTTAAAGGCAGCTAACACAACTGAAGATTAAATATAATACAGTGGAACAAGTAAATGAGCACATTATTTTAATACAAAGTGGCACAAAGTGTCTACAACTGTAACCAAAGACATTCCTCTGTCACTTACATAGTCAGTAAAAGTATACTACACTCCCCATGTACATTGTTGTGAGTAGAGGTGGTGTTAAAAGGTTACATATCTTGAGGGTAAACTGGATTTTATCACCATGGCCACAGGAATTGGCCTGAGGATGCCAAGATCTAACATGACTTCAGAAGTTGACATGTGCCAGCTACATGTTTTGTTACGAGACTTACCCGTGTATGTCCGGAGTCTGCAAACAAAAGAACGTAATATCTTCCTTTTTCATCTTGCTTTTGAATAGAAACTTGAAGATTACAGCCTGAAAGAAAGATGATAATAAAATTTATTAATTCCATGATTGTTAAAAAAGGGATCACATGCACCATTATCTCATTTTTGAGGAGAAGAACAACAACCTTACACACAAACAAAATTATACAGAGATTTGCAGAAGCAATCAGCACTTACATGCACAAGCACCTCTTCTAAAACTGTAACAAGTAAACTGTAAAATGTACCTTGTGTAAGATTTCTGAACAAACCAGTTGCTGCTTCATCCCAATGATCTGTCTCTCTGCAAATCAATACAGAGACACATACACAGGGTGTTTCAAAAGCTTGTTCCGATTTTTTTTTCACTCAAACTTCCATGGTTACTAAAACTACTTTTTTTGCAATTAGGTATGTTATTCCTTATTCATTTTATATTGAATAAAAGAAATATTAGTAACCAGGATGGCTTCCTTTATTTATTTATTTATTTATTTATTTTTTCGACATGTTCTAAGCGGTGGGGTATAGAATGTGCAAGCTTCGTAAGCGTGTATAGTCTTACATGTAGGTCCCATTTTTCCAGGCAAAGTTGAGTCGCCTTCTCAGCTCGTCCAGTGTTTAGCGGGCTAGATCTTTGTATGCTGTCTCATCAGCGGCACTCTAAACGTTCAGATCAGGTGAGTTTGCTGTTGCAGAGGTTCTTTGGGTATAACATTTGGCAAATTCTTCTGACACCATCTCTGGTGTTCATTTTTGCAAGATCTCCATGAACAAAGAGTTCACTGAGTGGACAGGCATAATGCAGGGCTCGAAGTTATCTTTTTAGTGCACGTGCAAAGTTTTGCTAGTAAGATTTTTTTCCACTAGCAAACTGGTGAGACCACAAGCAAATTATTTCCCTTTGTTTGGGAGACATGGATAATTCTAACTCGCAATCGTTTGCTAGTGGATATATTTCTTACTCGCAGATTATCAAAATCACTCGCATTTTGCGAGTTTGCGAGCGTTAATTTCGAGCCCTGATAATGCATAGTTGAATGGTAATTTTGGGACTCTTGTTGCAGATTTTTTCCCCACTTACACCTGTATATTATAATATGTTCAGTGTGATAGGTGCATTGAGTGTGGCCTGCATGTATTGGCAAGCAATGGTGTAGTGCACATCAGGGCTGAATGCCAACAGTAGAGGCTCCCAGATCTCTCAGGTACTACTCACCCACTAGATCCACAGGTGTTCATAACTTTCAATGCAACAGAGGGGAGCACAAACAACCTAGTATACATGTGCATGTGTCTATGCTACAGGTCAAATTAATAGTTCCTAGGTTGATTCTTGATTTCCTTTGTCTACTAGGACTAGAGGACAATGGAAATTAAGAATCAACCTAGGTTAAATCAAAATTAACTTGGGATCAAATTTGACCTGTAACATATACATGTTGTATTATGTACCCACCTACATGTACTATGAATATTACACTGCAGCTTAAGAGGGGTGCCCAAAACTTTGCAAGTAATTGGGGTGTGCATGAACTGCTTGTACTATACATGCATAGACTGTGTCTGAATCTGCATGCATCACTGACTCTCATTGGCATGTTGCGTTACTCGGGGGTTAACTCATCAGTGAAAACCCCTTCTTCCATATAGGGGTGTTTACATGTACAGGTATGCATACACAGTCTATACAATATGTTATGGCACCATTTTTGTCCTTGCTGCAAATTTATTTTGATTCTTTGTTTAAAGCAGTAAAAGTGCAGCCCTCATTGTTTTAGTACAAAATAAGTACACTGTAATTTGTTGAGAGTGCTTAACTTAAAATTATTTTCGCTTACTGTTTAGAGGTGCTCAGATCAAAATATGCTGTTACAAGTCCAAGTGGTTTAATTCCAGTCAGGAAACATTCCATGGCCTGATAGGGAATGTTTAGGTATTCTGTTGGAACCTCTCTGGTCCTAAAAAGAAAATAGACAAGCAGGCATATGAGCTGGATAAATACGGAAAAAGCTTTCATTCATCAAAACATCAAGCTGTAACTTACATGTGACTACCACGGTGCCCATATAAGCCTGTGAAATAAAAGCCTTAGAAAGATTCTGCATACATGTACATCGCTATTTTAAACCATTTAGAATTAATAATTTTATCTTTATAAATAACTACTTATTTTTCCATAGTTGTAAAATGTAATGTAGCATTCATTTCAGAAGAGGCTACTTTGACCTTCAGGCAAATTCATCTCTAATGCGTACTGTGTTTCAGTAAAAAAAGGCACTTTAAATACAACTTGTTAGCCTACACTGTATTCCACGTGCACACCCCTGGTTAATTTGTCATGACAAGTGAAATGAAAAGCAAAAAAGAAAAAAAGGGTGTCGCCTGCATGGAGGAGAAAAGAGTGACCTGTCTCACTGACCTGACTTGCCCCAGTCCTTAACAATACTTTTTTCAGGCTTGCATTTTATACAGTCCCTGTAATCCCTCGTCTCAACTGAGAGCCTGGAAAGGCTGTTTAAATAATAGATTATAAACTACATGTATACTGTTCTCTTCTAACTGTAATCACTGTCTAATCACCCTTGTTTCTTTGTATTCATGTTAATCTTAACATTAATATTTTTCTCTCTTCCAGTGTTGACAAAAAATAATTTATGCACCATGCCAGCAAAATAAGTCTACATTTTACAATTTGAATAAAGTGTTTTCTTATTGCATCTAGTGCACTTTACTGCATCTTGTAACAAAATAATACAACCTTGCTTTTGTTTGCTGGACAAGTCATTCAGTCATGTACCCTGTACATGATTGTTTGATTCTCAAAACAGAGCTAAAAACTACTTCTTTAAAATATCATAGTTTGAGTATGTACATTAAAAAAACCTTCTTACCAGCAGCAAGGAATAAGAGTGCTTTCAGCTAAATCCACAAGAAAGACACTGAAGGAAAACAAACAGCTTAAAATCAACCTTACAATATGTTGTAAGACAAGTTCCATTACTGTTTTCCTAAAGAAGTGCTCGCACTTATTTCAGAAAAACATCTGACCTTCCCCAAAACTGCACCATATTTCCACATTACCAAACCAGCAACAGAATTTTCAGTAGTTTATCGAGGATTATTGCAGCTAAACGGCCAATGGTGGTCATGGATTCCCTACATATTTGGCTGGGTTTGGCTTGTGACTCCAAGTTACTTTTTCAGGCAACATTCACCAAGCTCATCTACATGTATTGCAGATGGGTTAAAACTGCATTAAATACTACTTATTAACCTGGTCTGTTCGGGCATTACAGGGAAATCTCAGACCGAGGCCTTGATGTATTAACTGAGCTATAGGGAGGTCAATACATCAAGGCCTCGATCGAAGATTTTCCTGTAATAACCAAACAGATGAGGTCAATAAGTCATTTAAACAGGGCTTCTGATATTTCGCACGGTCACGAACCCATGAAATTCAGGTGTTTCCGTGAAATCCCACGAAATTCCCAAAAAAACGCGAAATACCGCGAAATCCGTCAGAAATATTTCCAAATACATGTCCACAAAACATATTTAATACTTATCTTGGCTATTAGACCAGTTTTATTCACCCCAAACGTCCAAATTTATCTTGAAACTTCGTCACTGCAACGAGTAAACAACGTCCCAAAACTACCAGGCGTTTTTAGATGAATGTTGCGAAAAACTGGGCACCAACCATAATGTTAATAGCTTTAGCATTCGCTCATTTCTCGAGCGAACTGTCGTTGAAAGAGCAAATGATTATCCCTGTGAAAAAAACGTTAAACAACGCTGGTCATATCGACGCAAAATTGATTGATTTTAACGAAATTTGCCAAAAAAAAATCGAGCAAAATTGGCTGTTTTTTACTGATTGTTTCTTGGCGAAGTTTCCCCCAGAAATTTCCCGTGAAATCGGCCGATTTTTCTAAGAACTTGCCCCTCAAAATCCTTCGAAATTTGACTTTTTTCGCTAAAATCCCGCGAAATCGGCTGATTTTTCTGCCAATTTTGACTTTCCGCCCCTGCGAAATCGGCCGATTTTCCCCTGAATTTTGCCTTTTTCTCCCGCGAAATCAGCCGATTTTCCACGAATTCGCCCCTGAAAATCCTGCGAAATTTTGCTTTTTTTTCCGCAAAATATCAGAAACCCTGTTTAAAACATGATACATGGCCTTTTCATTATGTACCAGTTCTGAGCCTGCAATCAATCAAAACCAACAACTGGTCAGCAGATAACTTATAAAACACATCATCTCAATGAGTTGTACAATTGAACCCACAATACAGTCATGTGACACTGGTCAGTGGATACCCTTTTGACAGAGAACAATAATTTATTGATCATAGCTAGCAATGCCCAGCTATTGCAAGAAAACAGCCAATCAGAGAGTGCGTACTATTGTAGCTATAATAATGTACCTGGCTTGAGGACCACTTAATGTCTGCAACACATTCTGCACTCTTGCCCTGTACCAGCATTTGTCAGATGTCCTTCTTACAACACACATCTACATGCACAAAAGAGAATTACCAAAACTTACTTCACCCACATGCAGGCTAACCTCAACACTAACAATCCTATAGACAGCCAGGGGTGTAACCAGGATCTTTCCACAGGTATGAACTATTTCCCAAATCCCCTCCCCCCCCTCCCCGGAAAGGACCCAAATATGGGCCTTGATTCTATATAATATATATACAATGACTTACGTCTGAGTAAGTTCGACTAAAGTAATCAACCTCTTATCATTATTCATAAACTGCTGTTTGCCACATTGATTTTGACAGAGAGAAGTACCATACAAATACACCCTACATAATCTGTCTTTACTTTGCCTACTGCAGGGACAGGGCAAAGTAAAAACAATGCATTCACACTATAACTGTGCCCTCTTTCCTGCCTTTTTTTTGTTGAATTACTCAAGAGTCAGTCCAGCAATGAATCACATTGCTTTTCTTGAAACTGAGATTTGGGTGGCAGAAAAGTACATTGTTTCAAAACGAAATAACTGAAAGAAACAAGTAGAGTAATGAGTTGCTAAGCATCTCACTGCATTTGGTGGCAACTTAATCAGAAGTGCAACTTCTTCAGTGGTTTCCTATTTTGGACTTGATTTCAAGAATTGCCTTTGACCATTGCCTACTTCATTTAGTTCTGATGCCTGCTTCAGCCTCTGCTACAAACCAGCTCATTTCTGATACTGGGGTACAGCTGTCAATCTAACAATCGACTCACCTGACCCTTACCCAGAGGATTTGTTATTTCTGGGGTTTTCCTGTCCCTAAAGTGGTCATTTAGCTTTCCCATGAAGTCTGGATGAGCAGTTGGTTGAGCCCAAAAATGACCAGCATCAATAACCTATAAAATGTAACAAGAAAGCGCAAGGATTCATGTCAACGCTTTAACGCTAAGCGACAAGCACTGTTAATTAGAAACACCACGAGAGAAAAAAGGAAGAAAGAAAATCTCTAGAAGACGAAAGATAAATTAGTTCTGTGTACAAACCTTAAAAATATTTATATCCACAATCGCATCCATGTTGCAAAGCTGTTGCAATCCCTGTTTACTGACCTGTTGATATGACACAAAACAACATGTAACTGTAATCTACAATGTAACTAACGGCCCGCGGGAGTCATGTTATGACTCCAAGATGATCAGCTAAGGCCTAACGCCTTTAAAACAGTAACAAGATCTGTGTACTTAAGTTGGGGATAACGCTACGGAGCTTTATAGATCTGTCTCAAGAGCAACTTATCAAACCTTCACTCGCGCTCTTTTATCTTTCGACTTCTCACGTGTATCATTGAGCATATTTGAATGCGGCTGCCATTTTCATTAATATTGTCGCAGGGATCTTGATTACGATTCTTCATAATTAAGATACATACCTTACAACTTATTTAATCTAAAGGTAAGAGGATATAGATTGAGAATTCGTCCAACAAAAGCCTTTTAGGAAGAGGCACGTTCAGCATACGCGCGGTTCACGGCGCCATGTTTGATTCCAGCCTCGACATCAAGTCGAGTCCAAGGGTTTGTAAATTTCGGAAAATTGAAAACAGGATACACTGGAACGGAACTCTTGGGAAAATTCCGTTAATAACATGGTTGTCTTAGGAAAATATCTTGGCTTTCCTTTTCTTTTGCCTCTATAGGGATTTGTTTTGAGAGGACCGACCCACCTGATGCACTGTAGTGAAGATTATGTTTCCCAAACTTTACTTAAAAAAAAAAAAAAACTATCGATTCGTGACAAGTCGAGTTAAAACGGAAGCAAATAAGTCAGACTTGAAATGAATATGAAGGACTGTGAGACAAAACAGTTATGTTGGTGCAAAATATGAAAAGAATGCATTTGCGCCCTTCTGTAAACTTTTTAAAAGCCGTTTTGTCATCAGCTGTAAAACTTATCATTAAGATAGGTCAACAGATCACAGTGGCAAAATTCTAGTCCTCTTTTAATAACATTCGCGACATCAATCATACTACATCTCTTTAGCTCTTATACTTTCTGTTGTTTATTCAATTTTTTTTTTAATATCTAAGAGTTTCAATGATGAAATAACTGAGAACGACTGCGTAGGTTAATACGTGACGCATCACGTATGTTTGCTTCTAAATTTTCCCGCCACTTGACTTCCCCCGCCACGCGGCTAACCTTTCAGCATCATCAGGTTCCTGCACAATTTACAGCTGAAAATGTGTTGACGTTCTGTTTATATTAGCTTAACCCTTTAAGACAATTGTTTTAGTAACCGAAGACTTTGAAGCAACAAAATTCTTTTGTAAGACCGAGTCATAGTGAAAGATTATAACCCTCTTCAAACGCTTGGGTCCGGTGGAAAGCTCCTGGACAACAAAAGGCTGATGTGTTTTGAAGAAGGACGAAGAAGGATAGCAGCAATTTCGTGCTGTGATTAAGAGGAGGTAAGCTTTAAGGATTTTAACGCACAGTTAGTCATTATAACTTGCGGTACATAAAACCAATGAATCACGGCAGGTATTTTAATATATAGCTTTAATTTTATGTCTCCATGCAGCTTTGATAGGCGTGAAAGCCTCGGTTGAATAGTCAATCGATCACTTCAAACCATTTTTTTTTCTTAAAGTAACTCTTTAATTCACCACTTAAAAGAAGTGCTACATACACAAGTTTGACAATTTTTTATAACACAGCTCACTTGTGATGTTCACAGCAGTTCCGGCTGAAACACTGCTCCGCCTTCTAAGTAGATACATTTAAAACATCTGGTAACTTATTTCTTAAGTCTTTCTTAGGATGTAAATCTGACAAAATAAAGAGAAGAAGGATCGTTCCCCAGTATCATAACTGTTCTAGCATTACGCAGAATCTTCTACGGCTACTCTTTGTGGCTTGACGAGTAAGCGTGCGGCCTGGTAACATTTAAAAAAAAAAAAAAAAAAGCTGTAACCTTTTCATGTGATCCGGGTCAAACTGTTGATGAAGCCGAGTGTGGTTTTATAACTTTGAGTCTGTGCATGCTGCCTTCTTCTTGTATGTTACAACTACTTGAATTCTAGCTGTTTGAATGAAAACAAAATCGTTTGCCTCTTTTGAACATGGCTGTTATGAGGGAAGGTTTTCCGGCGGGGACTCTCCTATGAAAATAACCTCATGCTCGTCATCTCGCTTAGGGTTGGTGGTTAGATTTTGGTCTCATTAAGGGTGGTCAGACGAAATGGATAAGGTTTTCCGTCAGAAAAGAGGTATCTGTGTAAATAAACATAATGCCGCCATTTGTTGAAGCCAGCATTTCAGATGTCAAGGGCTTTAGCGAAATTAAAATCACTATACAATCAAAGCTTTCGTACGCATGATAAGTGGTTGCAACTAAAAGGGCTCGTTGTTGACGAGGGTGGACTGTCGTAAGAGAAGGCCATGAGATAAACTTATTGGGGGCGGTCGCTTACGAGAGCTTTTAGCAAAAAGCTTGGTACAGTATCTTATATGTTATCAATACATTTATGAAAAAAAAATTTGAATAGGGCCTTTTTTTATGCCATTTGTTCCACTAAATTTGATTAAGGAGGAAATTCAAGTGCATGACCGAGTGGTGGCTTATCAGAACTTAAAAACAAAAGTTTATACAGCAACGAGACCAGCCGCAGATTCACAAAAGGGGCGCTTACGGCCGTTGAGCGTTCGCTTACAAGAGCTTTTAACCGTGTGAACAGGATTTCAAGATGCTGGTCGTAGCTAGTAGCTCAGTGGAGCTCATAGTTTACAGAAGTGGTCGCAAGCACGGCTTCGACTTATTTGGTTGTCTGTTTCAGTGTGGTCTCTTTTTGATGGGGTCACTTCAATAAACGCTGACGAGTCACGCCCAGATTGGTCATTGGTTTTCCCCCTACTCCAAGCATTCCCTACCCTCACATTTGAGAGTTCCCTCCCTGAAAGGCTTGTCCTTCTCGATGGTTTAAATAAATTCAAAACATTTCCCGATAAAGCGGATACCTTGCTGTTCAAACCATCTAGAAATTATAGTATCCACTTCTTTAATGGAGAAACGCAACCGTTGCAAACAGGCTGTGCAAAGAAATTTATAAAAAAAATAGCGATATTAAATGCTTATTGCTTTCTGTTTTTTACTTCCTACACTGCAAACAATGTCTAATCGTCCTTGTCAAAAACTGATACCCCATCACTTAAAGCCGAATTCCTCAAGAGATTTGCACGAAAACAACAAAGGCTCAAAATGAACTGTACGATAGATACGTCTATGATTCCGATAAACCATATATGATATTGAAACAAGATTGTTTGTTTATTTTCTTAAAATGTGCTCTTATTACGCGAAATCCAATCTTTACCAGAAAATAGTAGTCCAGTTCTTAATTAAAGCTTAGGAAATCAAAACAGTGCGGTCGTGATCCTTCAAGTGCAATTAAGAACATATCTTTTTAGACAGGTATTGTGAAGTACCCAAGAGTAGAGATACAATTACGGCATAGCAAAGGTGATAGATAATCAGTCAAAGTGCATTTATAAGGGACGAGAAAAGCAAGTTATGTAACTGTGAGAGATTTAAAGCCCAGGTTGGGCACTCAGGTAGGTTTAAGTTGGGCATGTGCATGACGCCGAGGTCTTCAAATTTTGACCCCTTTTCAGAAAAATAACATACAAGTGTATTCAAAATGATATCCCGATGTAGGAAAAGGCCTTTTTTCAGTATTCCATTCTAGCAAGACACTAAGGCAGAGGACCTTCGATCTGCCTAGACAGTGAGTCAGGAAGACTTATCTAGGAAAACGAGGTATACTGCTTGGCCTCTGCTCGCTTGGGTACATTCTAAAGCACAGCTCTAGCTCGTTCTGAAGCTTTCTTACGTTCGAAATACTATCCCTTGCTCAAGGAAACGTGTCGAATCGGATATGTCGGATAGTAGCCACACTTATCAGAAAAGTCAGAGTGTCATTGTTTTTATCTTTAAATCAGCAAGTAATTAAGGCAGATTGAACGTCTTTACTAAAAGACAACAGTATACTACCGAAAATCTAGATTAAAAAGATACATAAATGACTGTATCATGGATCCCTACGCAAAGAGTGGTAACTTTCTAATATTCTCAGGAGAGAGGTCGAGATTCCTTCCATTCCCTACTTCCGTTGATCTTTCTCTTTTCTTTTTTTAAAAGTTTTTACATGAGACATTAGTTACTTACAGAACAATCATAAGCCAAAGTAAGGCAAAGTGAACATTTATCTTAATCTGACCGCTCCTCTATTGTGTTTCTTCTACGTGGGTTATTTGAAAAATCTCAGCAAAAATCCAGAACTGCAATCCACTTTTTCCACTTTGACTCAATCAGAGAGTTGTAATTGTTTAGTTAAACCTTTTTTTTTGTGCATTGAGTAATCCTCCCCGGTTCCTTTTCTACCCCAATATACAGACTGTATTTCTTGCTTGTTACGACTTCTACCCCCGTCCGGGATACTCACCATAACTGTAAATGCCTCTCTTTCGTAAAGCGGGAGAATTATTTCGTTCTGTCGGATATTTAGTAAAAACTGTTAATGCCTCTAACGTTTAACGTTTACCAGATGCTAGCTAATATGTATAGCGCATGCAAAAGGAAATTATGATCAGGTGTTGGTATACAGTTGTAACACTATGAAGAAGAAAGCAGCAGCGTAGTATTCTCACATACAGGTAGGTGTATCTTAGCAAGGAGGGTTCAATCCTCTCTCGTTTTTTAAAGCAGTACCCCTGGGCCATTGGTGAGCAGATACCAATGTTTTGTCTATTTTAGTTGCGTAGATGGAAAATTTAACCATAAGACTCAAGGACATTTCGTATTCTGTTAGTGTATCACCTCTTAGCACATGCCTCCCCTGAGTACAACCAACTTCAGTACACGTTTTACGAAGGAGGCTGCACAAAATTAAGTCCTGGATATGCTTTTTCTAGTTTGAAAACTTACTCTCGAGGAATGATTTGCAGACTAAAAAGACCTGAGCTACAAAATTTCGCCTGGGAATGTTAAGCCTTGCATGAGTATTATTAAATTCCATGC